GCAGAGGCTTTGCTTTACCCAGTCCAGTTTTAAGAGCCCAGGTCAGGAAACCTCAGAGGAAAAGTGAGCGATGCTGCGTTTGCAGTTAGGGTTTTATCTCTAAAATCAGGAAGGGCATGCTGCAAAAATAGAATTCCTGTTTGGGCTGGAACTTGTTTCTTGGGAAAAGCTCCTGAAGCAAAAGCTGCTTTTAGAACTGAAGCACACGTCTTCCAGAGCTGGATTTATTGTGCCTGCAGTTGCCTTACAGCTTTTCAGTCCTGCTCTGTAAAGGCTTTGCATTCCCTCCCCTTTCCATAAGGGATGTCAGCACCCTCCTTTAAGCAGTTGGTGATGTTTTCCCTCTGAAAGCAGTTGTGTGTCCCTGTGCCTTTATGCTGGGTGCAAAGAACTCATTTAGCAGAGAGGTGCTCAGAGTCCGTTTTGTCCAACCTTTAGGTCAGTTTTCCATTGAATGCAGTTTATTGGTATTCTACAATACAAAGAGAAGCCTCGGAACTAAACCAAGCGATGGAGAGAGATGGACGCAGGTTTCGTACCAACTTTATTTCCTTTTGTCTTTGTTTCATAATCACTCCTTTTGCACAACAACAACCTCAGGTTGACAATGAAATGCACGTGGTTGACCGAAGGGAACCGGACAAGGCTCTGTGAGGGATGGAAAGCCCTTCCACGACCCCAAGGGGTGAATCCTGCCCGGGGTGCTGAGCCCTGGGGTTACAGCTCAGCCTCCCAAACCTCTGCCTGTGGCCATGGGCCGGTTGGTTCCTCCCAGGGTGGCCAATTGTGAACCATGGCTTTGTCCTTTGGGACTTCCCATTCTCAGAACCATTTGGATGCAGTGGCTCTCCCGTGGTCCAGCATCAGCATCCCCGTGTCATGGGATGGGGAAACTGAGGCCTGCGGGTGCTGGGATGCCACAGTGGGTCCCGCTGCTTCCCTGGGGACCCTGGAGCACCCAACCACTGGCCAGTGCCCCTCTTCTGCTTTACTTAAAGACAACTGACTACAAAGGTGGAGCTTGTTGGTCTTGCTTTGTCCTTTCATCCCTAGCATGGATAGTAAGACATCTCTAGCACCGTAAACAGCCATTCCCTGACTCATTTCAAGGGGTGTGAAGGGTGGATGTGCACATCTCCTTTCCACATCTGTGTCTCTGTGCACAGCCATGGGGAGGGAGGGAATACCAGGAACCCCAGGAGACAGGCTCTGCAGAGGCAAGGCCGGAGTCACGCCGGGCTAAGCAAAAGCAAGCAAGCTGAAGGCTACAGTGGAAAGGGAGCAGCGATACCAACCGACCCCCAGGGTAGGATGCATGCAGTGAAGCGCTGCCATCCCTGGGAGGTCAGCTCAAAGGTCTGGGTTACAGCGAGGGGTTGTAATGACTCAGAAAGAAGACAAGGAATAGGCTCAGTTTAGAAGCAGCATCCTTGAAAGCACCCATTTACAGAGAGCTGAGCTCTTTGCTCAGCTGGGAGCTCATTCAGCTTCAGCTTCTCTGCCCAAACCAGGGGCCCTTCTCCAGGAGTGCTCTTTGGAAGGTATACACATGCATGGAATAAACTGTCACCATCTCTTTGCTCCCTCACCTTCGTGGTCCAGGCAGGGATGCAGCCGCCCGCCTCGAGGATGCTCTCCCTACCGGGCACAAAGTCTCGTGTCCATGGGCTGCTGCAGAAAGGGGGCTGCCAAGTTACAAAGCTTGATTATACACATCTGTGGGAATCAAGGAAGAACTTCAAGCCTTATCAGAAGGAAGGTGGTCCTGGGAATGGGGGGGTTCATGCCATGTCCATGACTGCGGTACATGGGAACAGGCTGGGAATGAGGGAGGCTGGGGCAGTAAGGATGTTAGTGAGGATACTTGATTAGTCTCAACTGAGGTGTGAAGTATGCTGCTGCACACAACCATTAACAACCCTGGGATATGGAAAGGCATGGACCAACCGTCATCCCTGCCCATGCCACGTGCTGCCAGTCGGGCACAGAGCCACAGCCACGGGCACTGGTGCAGCCAAAGCAATCACACATTTCCCTGATAGCGTCCAGTGGCCCTGGACAAACACTGAGCTCCCTAAACCCCTGTCACATGCATCTGCACTGGGCAAACATCGCTCTGCCTCTCCTATGGATGAGGTGGTTTCCTTGGCACAATGTGTCTCAGCAGGACGTTACCGGTGCAAATCTCTCCCTGTGCATCCCTGCAGGAACACATCCACTGTCCCTCACAGCACTGACCCAATGGAGGGGAGAAAACTGAGTTTCCCAGTGCTCACACCGTGTGCCAGGCCACTCTCCTGTGCGTTTCCCATGGGATTACTTTTAGCCAGGCAAAGCTATTGCAAGAATCAGTCCCTGCCTGAGATGCAGGCTGGCCTCCAGGAAGCAGGGGAAGCACAAAGGGCTGAGGTGGGAGATCCAGGCAGGAACCGAGCGCAGAGAGTCAATGGAGGCTCAGGGGGATGGCTCTCACCAGCACAAGCCACCATCAACCACTTCTCCTCCAGCTCACACCAAACCTCATTGGCTCCTCCTGCTTCCCCTGGGCACAGCCAGGACCCCTCGCACCAGGAGCTTTGGGTTTACACTAAATCATACGCACTAGAACTGAAGCATCACCCCTGTTCCACCGCTCTGCCCTTCCTGAGGAGCAGCCTGTCCCTGCTCCCACCGCCCTGCCTGCAGGACTCAGCTGCCTCCTGCTCCATGCTCCAGCATCCTGCCCTGCCTGCGCCATCAGCCGCATCCGACTCCATCTGAGCCCCCAGGAGAGAGTGGGAACCGTTTCTCTTGTTTTAAACCCCTGCTCATGGGTACAACATTTCTGGTAATAATAATCATCATAATCATCATAATCATAGTACTAAAAACAGTATTTACAACAAGCCTCAGGTCAGAATTACACACCAAGCAAACACTCAGCACCACAGAGAGTAGGACAGGGTTAATATCTCGCAGATACCTTCTGAGATCCCAGCAGGGACACAGACACTTGACAGCTTCAACCATTTCTGACACACAAACAGTTTTGTTTAAGTTACTCTTAAATTATTAGCATTTGTTTTTGAACACTTGGAAAGTTCTTGCCACTACGCGATGAGGTGATGCTGGAGGTGATGCCGCTCTACAATGATGCTCATCTAAGACAGCTGCTACTATCAACTGATCATTAGCTACTGTTAAGAAATTCAACCCTCAGTTTCCTTCCCTTTGCCCTCTTTGCTCTAAATCCTATGATTTGCTTTTAGTCACTGACAGCACTGGGGCTTTCTAACAGTCCTGTCCCCTCCCCGGCCCAGGCGGAGGGTGTGGGAATACAATAGCCCTTCCTTATAGGAGCAGAATTCCCTACCATCGCACTGTGGCCATTGAGGGATCCCTCCCAAGTCCAGCTGGGAATCCTGGGGAGGTTAGCAAAGAGCCCCGGGGTTTCTTCTCTTTGGCTTTCCATGGGGTTTCTGTGCCTGCCTGGTGCCTACCCCAGGCTGAAATGGATTCTCTACCTGATTAAAGCACAGGGGAGACAGAAACGTCAGCTTCTGACCAGACCCAGCAATAATTCCTTTCTCAGAGGGGCAATGGGATCGTTATTCCCTGGGCAAACCCTTCATCTGCTCTAGCTCCTCATCGCTTCCAGCAGAGCACAGCCCTGGGGAGCCCCAGGCTGCACCCCTTGCTTGCTTACATCATTCCCCAAGGATCCTGCATCCCATGCCCAGGATGGCTCCTTGGAGGCACAGCAAAGGACACTGGTTATTAACAATTACACATCTCCGTGCCGTGGAGGCCCCTTTGGTTTATGCCAGGGTCTGCAAGGGCAGCCAGGATGGAGGGACCCAACCACTGCCCTATTCCCTTTATAAGCTAACAACCCAGTGACCTCGAGCACTGCTCAGAGTGGGAATTCTGTTACCTTGTGCCTCAGAGGGAAGCAGCTTCCACTGAATCCTCTGCAAAAGCTGCTGCAGGGCCGTGCTCCAGCGGGGCTGCATCCCAAGCACTGTGTCCGTTCCCTGCTTTCCAGGTGCAACATCTCCATTTAGTTTCTCCAGGCTGGGGCAGGGTGAGCAGGTCTGTGGGTCTCGGCACAGGGTCCCTTGCAGTGCATGGTGGCTGCTGGGCCTTGGCTAACTCCATAAGCTGTGACACTGGAAGATGAGGAAGTCCATGGACAGTCACCTATTTACATCAGACATCACTGCCATGCTCACGTGTTCTCTGCTCATCCCTACCTCCACCTAGAGACAATTTTGTCTTATAAATAGGTCTGGAAAAGCTAAAGTTAGACAAGGAACGAGTGTGGGGACATCTCTTTACCCTTACTGTGGAGTTGCACCCCTTTAGCTCCATCTCTGAAGCCACAGGTCTGGAGGTACCGAGCAGCTGGTGTGTCCTGCCTCCTAACGGCACTGAAGAGTCCTACACATCTTTGGAAAGGGAAAGAGGAGGATTCTGCTCACTAAAAGGCTATTTCACAACCATGCACCCTCTCTATTGGATTTGCTTTCCTACCGGACTGAAATCTCACGCTGTGGGAGCACTGGAGACCTGCAGACCGAGCCCCCTCTCCCAGGGCTCCCATGGATCTGGGGATGCGATCGTCATCTGTGGGTCCCCCAGGCTGCCTGGCCAGGACCTCTCAGTCCCTGCTGTGTGGGGAGAGGGTGGCTCAGTCCACTGGCTCCTTGTGCTGCCAACCAGCTCTGGGCAGAGAGCCTCACCTCCTTCCTCACGGGCTACCAGAGAACCATGCAAAGATGAGGACGTTGGGTCCCTGCCTGCCTGGGCTGGCTCCAGATGCAGCCAAGAGCTGGGGGGCTCTGCACACCATGGCTCCTGCACCATTCACCCCTCTCATTCCTCTCTCCTACCACTGGCAAACACGGGGCTCTTCCCTATTCCACCTCACACACAGAAATCACCACTTAGTCTGAAACTATTTGGCTCAGAGCAAACACCAAGAGGAGTAAAAGCCCCGGGGTAAGAAATCCATATCTCTGTGACACTGCTGGTTGAATTTATTAATATCTTATGAATTCTTCTTTTTACATCAGTTTAAGAAATATTGGTTTTTAAAAAAGGACAAAACCCTCCAAAGAAGCTGTTTGATTGACTGATCGATCGATTGATTCTCTATTTCATGTGAACTAGTTGCTATTCTGCTTAGAGGTCCCTATGATCTGTGAATCCTCACAAGTACTGACATTAAGGATGCAGAGATAGAGAAGCGTGTAGCTGGGGGACGAACACCAGGGGAGTGGGGGGGGAAGGATGGAGGATCGAAGGTCGCATCTAGACAAACAAAATCAAATGTGTTGGTTGGTCGATTGGTTGGTTTGTTAATCAGGAATCAGGTGCTAGATGTGTAGAAAAGCCCTTTATCCAGAGATCTCCTCCCGCTGTTCCTTGTTCCTGCGGACCTCAGCTGCGTGCAGTTCCTGCAGGGATGGGAGAGACGACACCAGGATGACACTGTCTGCTTGTGAGATCTCTGTTTCCCTTCGCTCCTGCACACTGGCTTTGCATCAGACAAAAGAAGAGAGCAGTTTCCCATCTGACACACCGTGAGGGCTGCGGGTTATGCCTGCAAGCAGCAAAGCATCACATCTGCAGGAGTCTGAAGGTGATGGGAACTGACACTGAACACGTTCACATCCCCTCTTAGAATCATAGAGTAGTTAGGGTTGGAAAGGACCTTAAGATCATCAAGTTCCAACCCCCTTGCCATGGGCAGGGACACCTCGCTCTAAACCATCTCACCCAAGGCCTCGTCCAACCTGGCCTTGAACACTGCCAGGGATGGAGCATTCACAACCTCCCTGGGCACCCATTCCAGTGCCTCAGCACCCTCACGGGAAAGAATTCCCTCCTTAGATCCAATCTAAACTTCCCCTGTTTCAGTTTTAACCCATTACCCCTTGTCCTGTCACTACAGTCCCTAATGAAGAGTCCATCCCCAGCATCCCTAAGCCCCCCTTCAGATACTGGCAGGCTGCTATGAAGCCCTCTCCCCATGCAGCCCATGGGAATGGGATGGGCCTGATCCTGTGCCTTTGAGTTTGTGCTTTATCAGCAAGACTCTTTTCTCCATTGACCTTGAAGGACACCCCCCCTATTTCTGCTCCACCAAAACGCCTGTTCCCCTGTTCCCATTGCACTGAGACAACCCCGCAGGGACCAGACCCCCAATTCCACCCCTTGGGAATCACCCTCAGCCCTCTGTGGGGACGCTGCACTCGCCTTCTCGCGGAGCCGCTCCCTCAAGGCAGCCAGATGTGCTTCACGGATCTCCCTGCTCAGCTCCATCTTGTAGTTGAGCTTCTCCTCGGCCAGGCGGCTGAAGTTGTTGTTCTCCTCCAGCGCCTTGTGCAGCACTTCCCGCTCGTGCTCCCGCTTCTCCGCCAGCTGCTTCAGCACCTGAGCCTCCTGGGTCTGCCGGGGCAAGGCAGCGCCAGAGCCATAAAGCAACCCAAGGGGCTCGTCCAGCCTCTGCCTCCCCACAGGGGTTCCTGACTGTCTCCAGCGCTCAACATCACTCCGCCACCCCCCTCCATCCCATAATGCTCTCGCTTGGAAGATGCTTTGCCCCCTTTTTCCTCCTGTGGGGCAATGTCTGTGGAGCTCGATGCTCTGGGTGACCATAGGATGCAAAAGTGAGGTGAAATGCAGGCGGGCACAGGGTCACCTCATTTGTGGTTCAGTCTGGAGATGGTTCCTTAAGGGGAGACCTTAGAGCAGCTCCAGTGCCTAAAGGGGCTGCAGGAAACCTGGAGAGGGGCTTGGGACAAGGGATGTAGGGACAGGGCAAGGGGAATGGTTTTAACCTGCGAGAGGGGAGACTGAGATGAGCTCTTAGGCAGAAGCTCTGAGTACTGTGTGGGTTTAAGAACAGGAGGAGGATGGTGATGGGGTCTAATTCCCTGCCTCAACCAGGCTGCAGAACCTCCCTCCATGACTCCACCTCTCACCTGACAATTTACAGCAGGATGTGGTGCTAAGTGTAAGAACACTCTCCCCCCCCATCTTAGATCAGTCCTGCTGAGGCAGTTTTGGGGTTTGGTGCAGTCAGGACCCATCACACTGCTGCTGCTGAAGGATGTCTCATTACCTTCCTCCTCTCCTCTGCAGCCTCCAGCCTCCTCTGCAGCTCCTCCAGGGACAGGTCCTTCTTCTTGGGAGGGGAGGAGAGGATCGGGCTCTCAGGAGATAAATCTGAAGGGGACTTCAGGATCACTTCGAAGCTCTGGCCTGATGCCCTCTTATCCAGCTGCTTCACCTCCATATCTTTGGGGGGAGAAAAACAGCGACTCTGGATCTGTGACACTCAGGAGAGCATCTACCTGAGGGCACCGAGCTCTCTGCACAGGAATTGGGGGGTTCCCATGTCCTGACCTGGGTGATTTTGTTCTATCCCCAAAGTTCCCCTATTAGTGATCAGCTTCATCCCCCCATGTCAATGCAATAATTAAGATTCACAGCATAATTGCTGTTAACCCCTTGGATACCACCCCAGTTTGAAGCAGACAGACCCTGCAAGCTGGCAATTGGGCAAATACATGTAAGGTTAATAAAATAACCTATGAAAGGAGACTGAACAGCAGGATGCCAGGATGAGACATGGATTGTTCCTCTGGGATGAGCTCCCACGTTGCCTGCAGGAACATCACACCAATGTACGTACCTCCATACTGGTAGATGGTGTTAGGATGGGGCTGGGTGTGGAAACAGGAGCAGATGAGGGAGAGCAGAGACAGCTCCTTCATTTTCTCCTTGTAGGCTGAAAAACACAAAGCAGCAATGAGAACAGAGTCTAATGGCAGAGGCAGCTCTTTTGCAGGGAGAAGTGAAGCAAGCACACACAAGGAAACCCATTTGTAGCTCCCAGATTCTATGGGGGCTTTTCCAGGCTGCTGTAGCTTGTGAAAAGGTGCCCAAGGAGCATCTGTTCTAGAGCAGATTGAATTAGCTGCCAGGGTGGAAGACACACAGCAGGGACTTAGCACAGCTAAAGGTGTGAGAGCAGGATTTTCCTTCCAATGGAGCTGAAATGCTGCAGCCTGTGCAGTTACCACATAGGACAGACCCTTCCTCCATCCCACTTGCAGACTCAGAGGTAAAGTGATGTCCATCAATGCCTGGAAGCATCGCTTAACCCGTGGCAAGTGAGGGGTATTTCACAGTTCAGCAGTTCTGCCAGCAGGGAGAAGAGGCAGCAACGTGGAGAACAAGTGGGCACCGGAGTGCAGAAATGGTTCAGGGTGCTGCTGACGGGGGACGTGCTGGAAGCAGCTCCCTCAGGTTCCTCCTTCCCTGCAGAAGCAGAGCAGTGGATTCTGTCACCACCTTGGCCCACGCAGGCAGAGCTCGATACTGGTCTGCAGTCACAGGAGATGCCATTCCCACAACGATCTCTTCAAGCTGGGAGCTCTCCAGTTTGCTCCTCATTCCTGGGGCTCAGTGATCAGCAGCACCCCCAGCTCTTGGTGGGTCTGTTTCTGGGGCAAACCTCACCTTGTGTATGTGGAGTTTAGCACGTTAAGACAGTGAACCGGTAGCACACACCTGACAGCCTCAGAATAGGGCCTGAAAACAGGGAGTGCTCTGACAAGGCTGTCATGGTCTTTATCACGAGTGTAGCTCTCACAGCATCTCTGCTGTGTTGCAGGGCAGTACCTGAGGCTTGGCAGTGGGAGCTGCTGCCTCTGCCCTGGGCTGAGTCTTTGGGATCACCCAGGCACATGGGGACAGCCTTCACTGCTGCGTGTCCTGCTAAACCTGTCCTAAGCATCCTTGTGCTGCCCTTCCTCCTGCTGGCCCCACAGGGCACAGCATTCCCCTGCTCTACCTTGGCCCCTGAGTTTCCCACATGTCTTTGTGCTTCTGGCCTTGGTTTGCCCCTTCCTTACCCAGCTCCTGTTCCCACCTCCAGCCAGAGGGACCCTGCAGCCGGGCTGCCCAAGCCACCTGCATAGCAAAACCCTCCACAGGCCAGGGAAGGGAAAGCCTCAGAACAAAGTGCTAGGAAGAGGCATTAAACAGAACGACTTTGAAAGAAGCATCATCCTCTGTACCACTCAGGAACATCTTCCAGATCATCTCGTTTGCCTTCCTGCAGCTACTGGGCTGGGTTCACATGCCTGCTCCATACTTGTACTTGTTTTTCCTCCTAGGCACAGACCCTCATCCCAGTTAACACCTTCCCTTTGCTAACGACAGTCCCTGAAGCTCAGATCTTTACTCATCACTTTTTTAGCTTGCTCCACACTGATTTTAACACCGTGCCCAGTCCTGCTGTTAAACACCAACCAAACAGGAACATTTACATCAGCAGTGCCAGCCACAGAGCAGGACATCTGTGATGCTGTTCTTAACGATAAAAAGTGTGCTGCATCGTGCTACACATTGCAGTGTGCAGCAGGAAGCTAACGTGTCTCACAAGGTACTGCCAAGAGCCCTGAGGAGGGGCCCCTGTGCTAAATGAGAGACATTATCATTTAATATAAACCTGAGGTCCTTGATGCAGCATTATGTCTGGTCCTGGGTGAAACCAAGATGTTAAGAGCTGTGTCATTTAATCATCTCCTAGCACTTGGTACTGAGCACAGTGCTGTGTATTTCATTACTTGGATGCCAGTACGTCTGCCTAACGCTGATTTCATGGTCCTAGGTGCAGACGAGCGGATGCTGCAGTGGTCCCTGCCTTTCAGGAGGGCTGCTGTAGTGCTTTCACAGCTGCCTCCAGTCCCTTGGGATCTTCCCTGTCCTGCTTTCCCTTCTGCAGAGCAAACTGACCATCCCTTGCTGTCAATTAGAATGAAAAGGAGCAAGAGGACAAAAGGGGACCGCTGCACTGAGCTGCGGCAGCGCTTTAATGAGCTGTGCAAGTGCTGCTCATCCTCCTCCCGATGCTGGAGCCAGCCATCAGATGCAATTAGCTGCATGTGGGCACAGGGCTGGGAGCTGCTGGGGCCTGGGCATGAGTGGGGGAAGATCCCAAAGAGCCATTGGGTTTGCATGGCAAGGTTCTGATAGCAGGGGGCCAAAGGGGTGGCTTTTGTGAGAAGCTACTAGAAGCTTCCCTGCATCTGACAGACCTAATGCAGCCAGCTCCAATGGAGACCCATTGCTGACCAAGGCTGAGCCCATCAGTGGTGATGGTAGCACCTCTGGGATAACAAATGTAAGTAAAGGGGAAAGTTGCTGCACAGGACCAATTGCAGCCGGGGAGAGGATGGAGAGTATGGAAGAGGAACAGCCCTGCAGATCCCAAGGTACAGGAAGAAGGAGGAGGAAGAGGAGATGCTCCAGGCACCAGAGATTCCCCTACAGAAGAAAAAGCATCCTGTAAAGAGAAGCAGATCCTCTGATTCAGGAAATAAAAGTCAGAAACATAACCCCCGACTCGCTATTTAGGAGACTGTGTCAATGAAGATCAAACCCAAGATCTCCTGAAGGAGCATGCTCAAAACTCTCAGGGGTACACTACCAGCACTGCAAACCTCAGCGCTAAACCATACTTCAGAAGTGTCTGCACTCATGCTTGCAATAGATAGAAGGTTCTGAGAACATATTTATGCCAGTGGACAAACCCCTGGAACCAAGATAAGAGCTAGCTGACTGGATAGAACATGATGTGGCCAACAAGCCCCTTCCAGGAAAGACCGTGTGTGCACAAAGGTACGTATTTTAAGAACAATTAGACAGGAAATGCTGAACTTCTTATGTAAGCATCTATTTTCATTTTTACTTTTGCTAATTCAGTAAAAATTCAGCTTACGTGGAGCAAATAGTGTGTATGTGTATGAATTAGAAAGGCTGGCTCAGTTCCTGAGGGACCTCATACCAATGCATCACTTTGGGTCTCAGAGGTGCACCAAGAGCTTTGTCTTGCTGATGGGGAGAGTGCTGGGCCAGGCTGCTCACCCAGGTATGAATTATTGATACTTCATGTTTCTGTTTAGGCAAACACTGCAACAGAAGGATCAGCAGCAGGTTCATTCACTCTGGGATGGTTTTCATCACTAAGTCATAACGCTTCACTGCTGTTGTATTAGAATTGGGGTGGAACATCTCAAATACTGAAGCTGTATAAATTAAGACGTTCATAAACTGTAGGAGTTACAGAAAAGTAGGTACCTTCCAATAACAAAAGGGGTCGACAAGAAAGGTGGAGAGGGGCTTTGGCCAAGGGCCTGTAGGGACAGGCCAAGGGGAATGGCTTGAACCTGCCCGAGGGGAGACTGAGCTGAGCTCTTAGGCAGAAGCTCTTCCCTGTGAGGGTGCTGAGGCGCTGGCACAGGGTGCCCAGAGAAGCTGTGGCTGCCCCATCCCTGGCAGTGCTCAAGGCCAGGTTGGACACAGGGGCTTGGAGCAAGCTGCTCCAGTGGAAGGGGTCCCTGCCCATGGCTGGAGGAGCTTTAAGGTCCCTTCAACTCAAACCAGGCCGGGATTCTGTGATTCTATGGTTAAGCTACAATCCTACCTAAAAGGATGCAGTCAGGTCCTCAGCATTTCTGAATACTTGTGCTCTGGAATGTGCACAGTCATGTCCTGCTCTGTTCATATTCCATTGCACACCCCAGGCAACAAGTCATCTGTAGGAATGAATTCATCAGTTTTCATCCGACCTTTCTCTGTGCTATATACATTGTGTGGACAAAACTACTTTCTCCTTGTTGCAAGGGGAAGAAGGCTGATTACCGTTCCCCAAGAGGGTAGGGATGCTCTCAGCTTCCTTTCCCTCTAGTGACTCCTTCCCTGTGCTCCCTCTAGTGCTGCACAGTACATACTGCACATCCAGATCCCTGCTGCTTCGCATGAGCTCTATATACAGCATTTATCCATGTCAAGCGTTTATCTCCATGTTATCCCTCCCAAGGATCCTACCCAGCGGCTCCAGGAGATGCACCTCTGCATCTTCCCATTCGTGATGTGTCTGGAGAGTGGGATCAGCACCTATTAATCATGAAAGCTTTTCTTCTCTGCTTCCTCACCAGATAAAATTAAGCTGCAGACTGCTTGAGCAGCCTGGCTTTTTGTTGAGTGGTAAATGACATCCAGCAAAACAGAGTGAAGCCACTGAAGCACAGCACTGATACTGAGTCATTCCTAATGAACCAGAGGCACAGCAGGACTCGTTTATGTGAATTCAGGCAGTTTCAAGGGATGAGGCTGGATGTGCTGTGCCTGATAGCAAGGTCAAAGGAAGGTTGTTACAAGCGGATAATTTGGTTTGCAAAGATAACTTTGGAGATGAAATAATTGCTTCCATAAAGAACAATATATCCTGAAATAATGAGAATAGTCCAATTATAAACGTTGCCAAAGCACAAACAGAAGGTGGAGAAGCTGCAGAGACAGGGAACCAGGTCCATCAGCACAAAGACTGCAGTGCCACATACACAACCAAAGCAACCATAGGCTTGATAAGCCTTGTGAGAACAGCAGACTCCAAATGTTCTCACCTAATCCTAAAAGCAATGGCCTTCACTTCAGCTTAATTCACCTCCATCTTCTTGCTCCCCAGCTTCCAAAACCCACATCAGCAGAGCTCACACCACCAGAAAACACTCGTGGGCTCTCTTCAGCTCAGCAGTTGTGCCCCCACTGACACCATGCACCATCTCACCATGAGATCCGAGGCCCAGAAGTTACTGTGGGCTCATGTGGAATCATCCATGGGAGCAGGCAGATGTGTGGCTTTACTCTGCCTTCTGTCAAGTCTGCTAAACTGTCCCCCAGGAACAGTTTCCAGTCACTGGTTCCCTCCCCTCTGGGTTTCACTGGCAGCTCCTGAGCACATCAACTGCGCTAGGCACAGCCAATGGGTTAGCAAATCACTCAAGGTGGAGCTCTGGAAGATAACCTGGGAATCTCCTCTTCCATGGGCTCAGGAAGAGGGAAGGGCCCAGGTTGTGCTGCAGAGACCCAAGGCTGGGAGGGGATTGTCGAGGAGGAGGGATGCATGACCTGGGGTGCTTGAGAAGGCAGATGAAGAAGCCACATGGAGGCAGATGCCCCAGAGTGGTTGTGCAAACATGGGTTCAGACAGGTTGGTTTGCAGGAGACAAAGAGCTACAGAGGAGATGGGGACCAGGTAAGGCCACAGTTCATGAGACAAAGACAGGAGCCTTGTCCTGAGCAGAGTACATGGTGCCATCTGGGAACATAGGATTTTTGTTTTACAAAGAACAAGCATTTCCTAAGGATTTTGATCCATCATTTGAATACAGTGGTAATATGCTTTATATAATAAAACATATAAAAATGGTATATTTGTATATATATAAAGTGCCTACAACAGATTCTTTCGGCTTGTAAAACTGAAATCCCAGTAAAAGCACTGTACATTTCTAAGGCCATATAGACTCCATCAACACCTGAAGAAAAAGAAAACGGTGATTCTCCTGAGAATAGAGAGATGGAGAGCTGGACAGAAAGGACTCTGAATCTTCAGAAGTGCCAGGACAGGTCAATGCCATTGGGTGCACACCAATAGCATCCAGAAAAGGGACTGCAGGGATAACCCAGACCTACACGAAGTCACACAACTGTTCAGCGTAGGAAGGGAAACTCTCAGGCTCTGTCACAGCACATTCACCATGCCCATTTGTGAGGCCAGAAATGACAAACCAGTGTTTCCTCTTGGCTCCACCTTCTCAGATGTGCCACTGTCAGAGAAAAGCCCTCGAGGTTGTCACCTTACTGCATCATTTCATAACCTCCTGTCTCTGTTCAACCCAGATGCCTACAAATGATGGGGAAGGTAACACAGCCCCACAGGATCCAGCCAGACACGGCTCTGGTGGGGTACAAAGGCACAAAGCCTGGTGAGGATGCTCGGGGAGGAGGTGTGAGGGCTCTGCCCTGCAAGGGCTGCCCGGCAGCAGGGCCAGCACCGCAGCTGAACCTGCACTGAGCATGTGCTGCCGACCCACTGCTCCTGCACCCACAGCAGCCACCAACACCCAGCCATGGCCCCCATGGTGGTGGGGAGACAAGGCAGGGGCTGCTCCCTCTTTCTTTTAATCCCAGGGATGTGTGTGTTTGAACAAACCCAGTAACATCCTCCCCAGGGGGATGAGCCCCTGGGCATCAGCTGCAGACACTGCAGCTGCTCTCCCCTCGGCACAGACCTGCTTTTGCTGTGAATGAGGAAGGAAATAAGAAAGAAAGCAAACAGGACTCCATCCTTAATGTAAGGATTTGCTCGCCTTTTCCTTCTCCTGTTCCATGTCTCTCTCTGAAGTGCTGTAGGTGATGGGGAGCTGCTCCCCCTCAGGCAGCTGGGCGAGGCTCAGCCCTGCTCCCCCCTTGGCAAACACTGCCCTATTCTCCTTTCTCCTGCCACAGCACTGGTTTCTCATGACTTCCTACCCCTTGGAACTGTTTCCCTACTTGATCTGAGCCATAAGGAGTGTGGTTTCCCTAAAACACACCCTTCTTCCTGATCCTGTCTCCTCTGACAGCAAAACTGCACCTTTGGGAAGATGAAACATGCAGTGGGTTGGGAGGGTGAGAATGCACCACCTGGGTAACGCACATTGCACCTCCATGTGTTTCACCTCATCCATCTCAAGTTCGATGCAACCTTGGGTTAGATGGCTGGTGATGCTGAGCCATTCTCTCCCACCCCACCCTGCAAACAAGGTCCAATCCTGCTCCATAGGGAAGGCAGGAGGATGGGTGGGACCTCCCGTGTGGGCACCGCTGCGCACGTTCACCAAGACCCAGATCCTCACAGCAATGTGTTCAATAAGCAGAGGTTTTCTATCAGAGACACATGTTTTCACAGCGCTGCTTTATCATCCTTCATTGCATGCAAAGCCCACTCAGGGTCGGGACCAGCTGCATCCTCACACATCCCCCACACGCCTCCGTCTCTCTGTCCTTCTCTCCCCTGTGTCTATCAGTCTCTTAAAAGGAGAAAGGGATAGAAAATGCACAGCAGGAACCACGGCAAAGGCCAGGGAAGGAAGCAAGAAGCGTTGCTTGGTCTCCTCCTGGCTGCTTCCCTGCCTGGGGGGGCACAAAGCACTGCTTGCTTTTCCTTTTTGTCTGCAGCTCCTGTTCAAGCCCTCCAGCCCAGCCCTCCAGGATTTACCTTCCCCCACCCAGGCTCCTCTTTATACACTGCAGAATCCAGAATTCCAAGAGGAAACTTGGGTATTTTCAAGAAAAGAACCCTCTAACCCCACCAAACCCACCCACCGTTCATTGTACCACTGCAGGCTTTTCTTCTCCTTCCCCCCCCTTCCCAATTCCAGCCATTTGAACCCCTCTTTTCCAGTTAAAAGGGGCAAGACAGGTCTTTAGGGACCGGCTGGACCGAAGCAGCGCAGCATCCCGAGGGCAGACTGCCATCCTGCAGCCCAGCCCCAGGCTGCTGGGCAGCCACGCTGCCATTCCCATCACTGCTGCAGGAGGGAGGAAGGGCTTCCCTTGCAGCATTTCATTTCTCCCAACGCCATCAGAGGACCGCTCCCCTATAGAACCTTCTAAGGGAGGAATGGGAGCTGCGGAAGAAATCCGGGGATGGGAAGCCCTGGAATACACAGAAACCCATCCAGGAATTGGGTTTGGGGGATTTTCTAGGGCATTGCTGCCACTCTCTTGTCTGTGTCTTTCTTTTCTGCTTCCCCTTTAGGCAATACAAGCTCTTCACCAAACAAAATGTGATTTCTCATTTCTCTGCATCCAGCTACACGGCATATAAACGGTTCTTAGGGGAAACCCAGCTGTATCACGATACAGAGAGAACAATCAACCATCAGGCAGCAGCATCCTCGTGCAGCACAATGGAACGGCAGCAATATTTTACAGTGGCAAGTTTATCACATGTGTATTCATATTAAAATAAAAAGCCCACCTGCTATCTTGCATCAGAGGGGTGTGTGTATGGGGGAGGAAGGGGAACAATGCTGCCATACCCGCTGCCTCCTCCTCGGAGAACTCCCCTGAAACACAGAGGGGGAAAAACCACCCCAAACCCACAGCCTAAACGCTAAAACCCTCTGAAAACCTTGATGGTTCTAGAAGAGCATCGCTGCTGAGCACCCTAAAAGATGCCTGTCCTACCTGAGACGGTGCTGGCCATGCTGCTGCGGCGGAGCAGAGCGGGTGCTGCAGGAGCAGGAGCGCAGGGAGCTGCGGAGGTGCTGCAATGCTGCGGGGAGGGAGGATCGGCTCAGCTGGAGGGGGCTGCAGCCATCCGCGGCAGGGAGAGCCCACAGAAAGGGAAGGGCTGGGAAGAAGGAGAAGGGTCACTAGTTTGGAATATTAATGAGTGGATCGGGCCTCCTTTCCTGGGTGGCTCTGACAGCAGATCCCTCCCAGGCAAAGATGCCTGCCAGAAACCCAGACCCAGCAACGGGGGGGGAAGGCAGAGACACACCCAGCCCAGCGCTGATGGAAGATGCTTTTTCCTCCTCTTCCTCCCTTTCTTCTCTGCTCTCAAGGAGCTTTTTCCTTTGCTGAAAGCAGAAATAAGAGGTGTTTTTTTGTTTGTTTGTTTTAAACCACCCACTCCAAGGCGGTGCTCACCTGCAGGGCAAGGGCTGGGCTCTGCCTTAGCTTAGGCTGAGGTGAAAAACACACACCTCAAACCTTGCACCGGCTTTAGGCAGACAGCAAAGGGAGGAAGGGTCCCAAGCAGGCTCAGCATCTTTAGGTATCTATGTTTTGCACCGGTGCACAAAAAGGGCTGCAGTTTTGGGGTGGAAACTGCTGTAAAAGTAAAGGAGGAAGAGCAGAATAGAACCTTTTGATGTCAGTGGGGATGCTCTGGGTTTCTTCTCCCCATCCACAGGCATCAGAACCTCTTTTCTTTTCCTTCTCTATTCTGTTTTCTATCATTTCCATTAGTGGCTGTTGCTAGGGGCCAGAGCATCTGTGCCTGCAGAGCATCACACACACCTTTGGGACCAAGGGACCCTTTGCAGTCCCTACGCCACACGGCTGCACTGAGCTCACCTCAGGGTCTGGAATCCCCCCCCAGGCCCTGGTGTTATCCTGCTGCTGCATGTCCCCTCTGCTCAGGAGCATCCTGAATCTCCCAGCACGCTGCAATGCAGACACTCCCAAACAATCCCAGTGCTGCAGGGAACTAGAGCTTGTGTGAGTAGCTGCTGGTGCTCTGGCTTGGCCCTGGCAGCAACTACTAAATTCAGTCAAAAAAGACAGAGATTTTCCCTTTTCCTTATCTTCCCCCCAATCTCCATGTGGCCTATTCCTACAACGGTGTATATAAATGAAGAAAAAAGATATTATAGAAAGTAGGTCTGATTCAGACTAATATTAACACTATCCACAAATCTTCAGTGCATGTTTGGAACTAGAGCTTTTTTATGACCCCTGATCACTCCCGGCTCTGTCCAAGGCTTCTTTTGTAGTTGCAACACCCTCTACTTTCTCCTTGGGTTGGATCTTTCAGGCTTGAAAGGTTATCTTAAAGCCAGCAGGATGAAGTGTGCATGGTTCAAGACCGCCCTCCTCATTAGAGCAGCCTTACTATACCTGAAAGGGCTACAAGAAACCTGGAAAGGGGCTTTGGCCAAGGGCCTGTAGGGACAGGGCAAGGGGAATGGCTTGAACCTGCCCGAGGGGAGACTGAGCTGAGCTCTTAGGCAGAAGCTCTTCCCTGTGAGGGTGCTGAGGCGCTGGCACAGGGTGCCCAGAGAAGCTGTGGCTGCCCCATCCCTGGCAGTGCTCAAGGCCAGGTTGGGCACAGGGGCTTGGAGCAAGCTGCTCCAGTGGAAGGGGTCCCTGCCATAGCTGGATGTGGTTGCAGCCCCAAAAGGTAATTACAAGCGTGCTTCTTGTGCTCTAATCCTCTGTACTCCTCTGACAATTTTCTTTTGATCCCTTCCTCTTCTTTCTCTTCCTCCCTTTCCAAACTCTATCCTTAAAATAACTCAAGGTTCATCCTAGGGACACAAATGCCACAACAACAATCCAGCTCTAAGACCAACACCTTTATTTATCAGGTCTGTATGCCGACCCAAACAGAAGCTGTATCTTCAGTAAACCCCCCCAGCTCTTTTATAACCTTAATAAGAGATAGATATTTCTCTTTAATCTCACTAATCCAGTTTCCCCTGTTCTCAGAAGGAACTGGCACATGGTGCTGACGAAGCCTCACCAATGCCGATGCTGCAGCCCTGGTCACCTAAGGTAAGTGGTGCAGAGAAGAACCCCCCCGGAGGGTAAGGAGCCCTCAGCCGGTGCTGAGTCACGTTTGCTGCTGGACACCAGTGCGTTGCTGACTCACACTGCCTCTTTGGGTCTGGTTACCTTCCAGCTCGCCTCTCACAGAGGTAACACTGCTTAAACACGTTACAATAATCTGATCTGACACACTACGGTCTTATCCTTCAATGGAGGAAAGGGGTATTCACAGGAAATAATGACAGAGTAGTCCATGTATGTAGGAGCTTTAAACCTTTATCCTCCACTATCAATACCTCATCCCACGCTCTCACTTTACAACCTTTACAAAGCCCTTTCTTTTGCAGCTCCATCTCACGCAACCGGCGTCAAGTTAAAGAGCCCACAGGCAGGAACAGGAGCCAAATCAGTTGTCACGTTCTGCATGGAGCACCAGGAAGATCCAGAGGAATAACTCGGTGCTCTCAAGCGCAGCTGCTCCAGTTAAAGGCAGTTTGCAATCCAGGCAAGTTCAGCTTAAGGAGCTTAAAGGCTGGTGACCCAATGGCAACATCCATAAGCTCCCCTACCCCAACACCTGCAGTGTCCCAGAAGTTTGAGAACAGATTCCATGGATTCCTTTCAATAGTTATTTTTCTTTAAATATCAGAACACTCCTACATAGAAGCAAGCTGTGCAGATCACTGGGAATAAATGCATCTTCAAGTTAGCATAAAACAAGCCACATTCTGGTCTACATCTATGTGGTTACCATAGAACAACATGAGATGCAGTAACAGAAAGTACATAGAGATGCACATATTTTGTCTTAGTGTCTTCCTCATCTAACTGCATCCGATGGGGTTTGGGGGATCCAATGGCTACCCATTTATTAAAATCCTTGTGCGTTTTCACCAGTGCAGAGCAGCTCAGGGCTCACCACATCACATCTGGAACCAGCAAGTGCAATACTGCAACACCGCATGGGAGCTGAAAGCTGCAAGAATCCCATTGAGGGAAAGCAGGGAACAAAGGGGCAGCACATTCACCCCTAACAAGAGGCATTGTTCTGAATGCAGATGCTACAAGGCTCAGTGTAACGACACAGAAACCCTTGTACCTTCCAAGCTGAGCTCCAACAATGGACGCTGCAGTGCTTTGCCTCCTCCTTAGGCAGCAGTGCTGAAGGTGCAGCACAAAGCACAGCAGTGACCTGGAGGCAAATCCTGGTCATGGCACTGCTGGTCATTCATCTCACCTGGGCTGTTGGGAAGGGAGATGCTCCAGGGGGACCAAACAGGGCAGAGAGGCTTTAGCAATCATGGAATGGTTCAGGTTGGAAGGGACCTTAAAGCTCACCCATCTCCAACCCCTGCCACTGGCAGGGACCCCTTCCACTGGAGCAGCTTGCTCCAAGCCCCTGTGTCCAACCTGGCCCTGAGCACTGCCAGGGTGTCCTGGGTTTAGCAGTAGCAGTCATTTTTCTCCATCTTGGTAGCTGGTGCAGTGCTGTGTTCTGACTTTCAGCTGGGAACAGACGTGATAACAATGATGTTTTGGTTTGGGCAAGGACTTTGTGAGCCTCATGCTCTGCCAGGGAGGAGGGAAGCTGGGAGGAAGCAGGGACAGGACACCTGACCCAGACTGACCAAAGAGGTATCCCATACACAGCACGTCATGCCCAGGATGTAAGGGAGAGTGACCCAGAAGGGCTGGGGGACTGCGGGGTTGGAGGAGGTGTTGGTTGGTGCTTGGTCAGGCTGGGGGGGCGAGTTATCAGTTGGCTGGTGATGGGGTATTGTATTCTCTTCCCTTGTTATTTCCTTTATCATTGTTATTATTGGTGGTAGCAGCAGTGATTTGTGTTGTACCTTAGTTACTAAACTGATCTTATCTCAACCCGTGGGAATTGCATTCTTTCTGATTCTCCTCTCCATCCCTCCGGGAGTAGGGGGAGGGCAAGAAGGGGGGGGGGGAGCAACTGAACAAGCTTCATGGCTGGGGTCAAACCACGACACAGGGATGGGGCAGCCACAGCTTCTCTGGGCACCCTGTGCCAGCGCCTCAGCACTCACAGGGAACAGCTTCTGCCATAGATCTAACCTAAATCTCCCGTTTCAGTTTGCACCCATCATCCCTTGTCCTATCGCTCCAGTCCCTGATGAAGCGTCCCTCGCTAGCATCTCTGCATCCGCTTTGCTGCTTTTAGCAACCAAAACACCAATCTTCTGCCTCTGCGGACCCCTCCGGACTCGGTCCCCTCCTGTCCGCTGCCTCTCGGTCCTCCACAGCAGCACTTCCAAGCCCCCAGTGCCCCTCAGGCCACGCCCCGCCGCCATGCTCGGCCCCGCCGCCCCACCCCGTCCCCATGGCAACGCCGCAGCTCTCGCGAGAGCTGCCGACGGGAGATAAATTCGCGCGTAAACGAGGAGCAGGCCACGTGATCGTGGCGGGAAGATTGCGAACTGCGCAACGCGAGGTAAGCGGCGGTTGTGTCCGTCGGGGCGGGCGGGGGGCCCGGGTGAGCGCTGCACCGGAGCGGCGCGGGGGGCCTCGGTGACGGGCCCCGGGTGCCTGTGAGCCCCCAGCCCGGCTCCGCCGGTACCGTCCCGAAGCGCGAGATGAAAACGGGGTCTCTCGGCCTTTCGCCGTGCACGAGACCCCGGGCCCGGTTTCTCGCTCTGCGCGACCCCGCGGTGCAGCCCGGCGCGGGGCAGGGTGAACCGCGGGTCCCTCTGCCTTGCAGGTGCTCCCAGGGCAGCATGCCTAGGATAACGGTGAACGGCATCACGGTGGACTTCCCCTACCAGCCCTATGCCTGCCAGGAAGCCTACATGGCCAAGGTGCTGGAGTGCCTGCAGAAGGTAAGCACACCCAGGGCAGTGCGGTTCCGTTGCTCCCAGTGTCCCGTTTCCAGCCATAGCAAATGTCTTCTCTAACGTACACCACTGTTTCCAATCTCTCTGGCACTCTTTTACCTCGGTTTTACTCTCTAATTACTGAAACCTAGATGTATGCAGGTGGCAGGCAGTGGAAGTGTAGATGGGATGTTTCTGCCTGCCTTGGGAAAGGGAAGAGAAGCAAAACGAGTAACCCCTGTGTTCACACAGCTTGTACTTTACTCCCTGGGGCTTCACAGGATCACAGAATCCTTGAGTCCCACATTGGAAGGGACCTCTGGGGTCATCTGGTCCAACCTCTGTAGGCAAAGCATGACCTAGGCTGGATGTCCCAGCACCCTGGCCGGTTGAATCCTAAGTGTCCAATGCTGGGGAATCTACCGCTTCCCCAGGGAGATTGTTACTGTTCCAGTGGCCGATTGTCTCAGTGTGAGAAGTTCCTCTAGTACCCAACCAGGGTCTCCTCAGGAGTAACCTGTGCCCATGACCCCATCTCTTCTCCATTGACTCCTTGTAAAAAGGCAGTCTCCATTTTTGTAGCCACCCTTTAAGCACTGGAACATGGAATGAGGTCTCCCCTGAGCCTCCTCTCCTCTAGTCTGAAAAAGCCCAGCTCTCTCAGCCTTTCCTCACATGGCTGCCCAGTCCTTGGATCACATCATCTGCATGGTTGCTCTCCCTTCCAAGTGTCCTCATCCCCACTCAGTTTGGTATCACTGCAGACATCATCAGGGTACACTTGACCCCAGCATCCAGATCACTGTATGTCATGGTTTAAACCCAGGTGGTAACCAAGTACCACGCAGTCACTGTGCATCTCCGAGTTACTCATTTATTCCCTTTTGTTTTCTCTTCAACAAAGAAGGTCAATGGTGTCTTGGAGAGCCCCACAGGCACAGGGAAGACCCTCTGCCTCCTCTGTTCCACTCTGGCTTGGCAGGAGCACTATAAAGATACCATCTCAGCCCGCAAGATTGCGCAGCGACTCGGTGGGGCGGAACTCTTCCCAGAGTCATCCTGGGGCAATGTTGCCCCTGATGATGATATCTCGAGTAAGTGGTGTCATTCTCACCCTCACCAGGGGCCATATAGGAATGTTAATGAACATTTGCTTTTATCTTATCTTCTCTGATAACTGTGTGCTTGTGAAAGTCCTGGAGCTGTTGTTTAGCAGCTGAAGCACAGCTTCATTGTTTTATAGATTTTAAGTGTCCTTAAGTGTTTTCTGATTGTTTCTTAGAACTTTAGAAACTCATTCAGCTCATTTTCTGTGTGTGACTAGTTAGGTGGCAGAATTTCTTGCTTTCTCTACAAGCCAAGCTGTTACCATAGTACCAGCTGGGAAAGGAAGCTAATAATATCTAATAATATCTCCAGTTCTTCTTCCTGTGTTAATAATGGTTTTCTGCCTTTTTTTTCCTCTCTACTTTTTGGCAGCTTATTACACGGACATCCCTAAAATAATTTATGCCTCCAGAACTCACTCCCAACTTACACAGGTCATTAATGAGTTAAAGAACACAGTCTACAGGTAAATATGATTTAGGATAATGTTCCTATTCAAAGACAAGGGGGAGAAACCCACCTGATTTAGTTATTGTTTTGGTTTATGTGGATGCATGTATGAAAAAATGATCCCCAGTGAAATGCAGTTCTCTTAATGTGCATGTGTAGAACCTGGATTTCTCTGTTGGGTTTGGGTTTTTCCACAGCTTCTCTTATTTCCTTTAAACACAGGATTGCCTGCATTTGGTCTGATTTTGGTTCTTCACACATTTAGTTCTAAATTACCTTTTTTCTTTCCCTGGAGCAGTGGGAAGCCTTTGCAAAACCTAATTCCTTAGGCTGATGTGGATCTATGGAGAACTCCGTGGTTTTGCTGTACTGAAGTCTCCGTTTCCAGTTGTTGATGTACCAGTGTGTTGTCTGAGCTCTTTGAGCAGGCAGTAGTAATTTGTTTACATGTTTCTTGTACAGATACAGCCTTGTAACAGGCAACAAAAACCCATTGCAAAGGTCTGTAGTGCATTAGTTCCTGTCATAACCTCACTCTGCAAATCTCAGCCAGCTTGAAGCCGCTTGTCAGGGATGCCAGGCTCCAGCTGATGGGCTCAAATGTCACAACAGAACCCAGGTTTCAGAGTGGGTGATGGAAGCTGCTGCTCACTGCCTCCTGCTGTAAACTGCTGCTACCAGGAGAAACGCAGTACCATGAAGTCAGATAACACACATAGCTGTTACAGACTAACTTACTATTTCTGACCCTTCCTTTGGGCTCACTTATGTCTCCCGAACCTTTCACTTGTGATATATTCCACCCACTCTAGACACGTACAACTCTGGTTTTCTTTCTTGTCTGACTTCAGTTTTGTGCATTCTGTTTGAACAGACCCAAGATGTGTGTTTTGGGTTCCAGAGACCAGCTTTGCATCCATCCTGAAGTGAAGCGCATGGAGAGCAACCACATGCAGGTGAGATCAGAGCTTATAAAGCACGAACAGTGAGGATGCGGAGGGGTCCTGTTGCAGAGAGCCTTACTTTAGGGTGGACAGAGGAACACATCATTTTAAAACGGAAGAACCCCAATTAGCATTTATTCATTAACTGGTGTTACAGAAAACCAACAGCTGAAACTCCTTAACATGCTTCAGGCTGTGCTAATCTTGGCTAAAATACATTGTTTTACAGATCTACATGTGCAAGAAAAAAGTGATGGCTCGTGCTTGTCATTTCTATAGCAATGTGGAAGGTGAGTTTGGTGTGGAAGTAAAGCCCTACTGTTTGGAGAGGGAGAGATTTGCCTGGTGGGTACAGAAGTTTGGGTGAGTTTCTTGTGTGTGTGGTTTTTGCTCTATGTTGATGCCTTTCAAGAATGAAATGCTGGGAAGTGGATGAGTGTGATGGTCAGGGAAGCAACAAATCTTGTGGTCCCTGTACCTAAGCTGGTGGTTGTAACTTCATCTTTCACAGAGAAGAGTACAGAGAAAGATCTGATGAACTCAATCATGGATATTGAAGACTTGGTTAAGAAGGGCAACAAGCTCAGGTGAATGATCCCCTCTCACATTTCTCCCCACTTCTGAAAACAGTGGAAACCATTTCTCTACTCATTTTCATTAATACCTCGGTATGAACTTGGCAAACACTAAAGTAGTAGAACAGTGATGAGAGCAAAGTGAAGCAGATAAATACGGTGTAGAGACAGCTTCCAACAAAAGTCATGCATGCACCAAACTTCTGTTACTGCAGTTTTCGTCATGCAGCCATTTATTGCAATCCTTGTTGTGTAAAGACTGAATCAGGTCGGAGTCAGGCCCACCAGTGTTTTGTTTCTCACTTGAGCAGAGGCTACCAACATCATCTGCCATGACAAATGATGCTGCAGCTCTCTTTCTGACCTAAGAGGACTGATTTGCTGGGGTGAAATAGTTTAGTGCAGCATCTGCGTGTAGCCTAAAGGGGTAAAATGAAAGTGCAGCAATGAAATGCCACTTTTCTCCTTTCATTTATTCTTTCTTTGCACAGATATCATTTTCTACACTTTTATTTGCTTCTGTGAATAGAGATAACCACCTGCCCTAAAATTAGGCATGCCAGCTTCAGCTCCTTCAGTTGATAGGAAACCCTTGAGCATATGAAACATTGTGAATGTTGAATGCCCTTTTGATATACTGCAAGTCTTACTTGATAGTTTGTACTTCTTTTTAAACAGAGCTTGTCCTTATTACCTCTCTCGAAGCCTGAAGCAGCAAGCAGATATTATTTTTATGCCTTACAACTATTTGCTAGACTCAAAGGTAATGTGTGTATTTGCTTTTAAATGCAGTTGTTCTTCTGTTTACCTTATGTTGCCTTTTAGTGGGCGAGCTGTGAAGAACTGGTGCGCAGTGAACCCATTATGGGCCATACTTCAAAACTAATCAAACCCCAGGTCAAATTCAGAACCACAGAGGATGCCATTTTGTGGGGTTCTCTGTAAAGTTCTTTCCCACAGTTAAATACTCCAGTTTTATGTTGAGGTCTTGCTGGTTTTACAGAATTAGCCTTGCAGAATGGGGTGCTCTTGTTGTTTGGCAGTATTCACATCCTGGTGTGAATCTTGAGTCGCTTACCATGCAGTATCTTTGCATCCATCCCGAGACATTTTTGTTCCTGCAGCCAGCTGCATGATTCCTAGAATAAGGAGACTTTTTCAGTAGAGTTTGGGTATCTCTCTTGGAAATAATTGCTGGCTTTGGGGAGGGGGGGAAGCTATTGCAATAAGGTGTCCGTATGTCATGGGTAGGAAATGAAGCTGATGAGGAAGCTAATCTGCTGCCGGCTTCATGCAACTTGGAGTAATGAATAAATTATAGTAAAAGCCAGTTTCTATCCCCCTCCACTGTTACAAAAGGCAGAAAGACCAAATATTTAATAAGTTAAACAATTAAATCAGATTAAGTGGCCTTTGTCCATCCCCTCATTCCCTTTTTCATCTTCAGAGCCGCAAAGCGCACAACTTGGACCTGAGAGGGACTGTGGTGATACTTGATGAAGCTCACAATGTGGTAAGTTGTTTGTGGCCTGTTGCCATTTCTCAGGCTTCATCCAGAGAGAAAAAGGGGCCTGTGCCCTGTTACAAACAGTCTGTAAAATATCACTGTACTCAACTCCTTGTTGTCAGTGTTCATTATCAGGAACGTTTCTTGGTTCTGTGACAGTTAAAGCTTTGTAGTTTAATTCACAGTCCTTTGACACTACCATGACTTCTTAGAAGGTGATGGTTTCCTTCTGAAGGTGGTATCTCCACCTTTTAGCACCTCGTGAGGGTGCTGCTTGTCTTGTTTGGAGAGTTCCAGGTGAAAGCAATCATGAAAGATCCATTCTTGAAGCTCAGCTGCTTCAGCTGTTAAATGCTGTGCATGGTGCTGCAGTTCTGGTGTTCATAAAATGTCCTCTGGCCTGAGCTGGAGGTCAGAAATGAAATCAAGTTTGGTCATTGGGACTTTATCACCTGTGATGAGCACGGTACACCCTGAGCAGTCCAAATAATGCTTCTGTTCCTTACATTTCAGGAGAAGCTGTGCGAGGAGTCGTCTTCTTTTGACTTGACACCCTATGATTTGGCTTCAGCAATAGATGCTGTAGATGTTGTACTGGAAGAACAAGCCAAAGTGGTTCAGCAGAATGAAGTAAATGCTGAGTTCAATATGGAGTTGGCCTCTTCAGGTGTGTTGACAACCACAAACCATTGTTTCACTGGGATTATTGGTGCCACTAGCAAGAGCTGGAAAGTAACTTTTCCTAATGGCTTTGAGCTGAAAGAGGGAGATTAAATTAGATGTTAAGAAAAAGGTCTTCGCTATGAGGGTGCTGAGGTGCTGGCATAGGGTGCCCAGAGAAGCTGTGGCTGCCCCATCCCTGGCAGTGTTCAGGGCCAGGCTGGATGGGGCTTGGAGCAAGCTGCTCCAGTGGAAGGGGTCCCTGCCTGTTGCAGGGTTTGAAACTGAATGAACTTTAAGGTCACTTCCAAACCATTGATTCTAGGATGTTCATTATTGTTATTTAGTTATCACTGCCAGACAAACACAAAAACATTTGGCCAAACAAATGTGACATGAGGGTCATGAAAGGGAACAGTGAGTGGAATGCAGAGTATGTTTTTCCATATACACAGTTCTAGCCTTCATATCCATACTTTTTGCAAAGGCATAAATAAACTGTGAATGAAAGATACAATGAAACATCCTCTTTGAAATCTTTCCTTTCTTCAACAGGCCTGAACATGGAACTTGAAGATATAGCAAAGATAAAGAGTAAGATTGTTCTCTGTGTCCTTGAAAGTGGTTTCTGAAACAGTTTGAGGAGGCAAACAACTGTAAATTGGGCTCCTGTAGCATTTCTGTGGACATTGCTCATAACTGAGTCATCCATGGAAGTTTAAAGTGTCTTTTTTTTTCTGAGCACTCTGTGGAATGTTTAATTATAGTATTTTCCCAAGAAGATGAGTGATATAGCAGATGAATGCGTTGCTTCCTTTTTTGCTGGAAGTTCCCTTGGTTTCTGATGTTGTGGGTGTGCTGCAATTGCATTAATTGCATCACTGCTGTAAGACCACGATGCTACGTAAGTTAACAGCAAGAGCTCGAGCTGTCTCATGCTTACAGAGCATTTCTAAGAACAGCTTTCTCCATCTATAGAGGAGTTTAACGTTGAGCCCATGACTTAAGCTTATCCAAGAATTGAGGTCATGGAAGTTCTTGAAGTTAAATGTGAATATTTAGAGGTGAGACCAAGGAAAGTGGTTCTGATTTGTTTACAGAATCAAGCAGCTGTGCTGCTGCTTTTGATAACAGCCTTAGTAATAAAGTACATTTGGAAAAGCAGCTTGGATTTGTCCCAGAAATGAGTTTCTGTGAATTCCATCTTTTTTCCCTTTTGGTTCTCTTAAAGAAATTCTTCTCCAGCTTGAAAGTGCCATTGATGCAGTGGAGCTGCCACCGAATGATAGTGGAGTCACCAAAGAGGGAAGGTAAATGTCTTCTTGTTAATATATCTATATATTCTAGACCCTGTGAAACTGAGTCAGCTGTTGGGATAGGCAGCACTATTCCAGTTTCTGGGAATAGTACATCTTCAAGGCTCTGGCTTTCCTGACATCCCCTTCCTGTTATAATCCTTATTTCTGGTGGAACTTCCTGTTTCAAGAGTGGAGAATCCAGTGCTGTGTGTATAGCTGTCATGTATCCTGAGCTGGAAGAAGCCCCTCACTGGCCTGTTTTCAGTTTTGCATCATGATTTAAACAGAGTGCATGAAATCTGTTTCTAAATTCATGTGTGTTGTAGAGAAATGGTGGGAGATGTGCAGGATGTGGTCAGCGCGCTTTCTGTCACATCAATATTGTCTGCTATTTATAACCAAATACTTCTTTTTTTCCTGTAAATTCTTCTTTCTCACGGAGACAAGAACATGTTTTGCTATTAGATGGTGAAATTGTTGTCATAAAAGAGTAGCAGTAATTGTGCCCGCTGTTATCTACAGTGTTTTCCCATTTGTGCATTGCAGCTACATCTTTGATCTGTTTGCCGAGGCCCAAATAACATTCCAGACTAAATCCTCACTCCTGGATTCACTGGAGCAGATTTTACAGTATCTTTCAGGCCGTAAGTGTGAATTTGAGTTGTTTCACTCAGACTTTTCTCTGTAATGCAAGGAAGTGAAATTCTGCATTGTTTGGGAAGAGGAGGAGAAAGGCTTCTTAAAGATTTAAATGATAAAGCTTTAAAAAGCTAAAGTCTGACCCTCAGGACCTGTGTTGTTTCATTAAGACTTGCTGCAAGGTCAAATTCTCATCTTCAGTGTATTTTGCATGTTCTTTTAAGTGCTCCTCTGTAGTCACTGGTTTACTTGTGCTAGAAGCTTGGAAGTAGTTGTAAAAGGCAGTTTATAGCGATGGCAAAGGGTAGGTTTGGCTCTCTATATAAGTAGTCAGTTTTGTATTTCAGTGAGGCTAATGTTAGTTGTGTGAGCTTTTGGAAAAGTCACTGAACAGTTTAAGTGTGCTTATCTCTCTTTTCTTTAGCTGCTTTCCAGTTTTACTGTGAAAGAGCCTTAAGTTTATGGTATTGTCTTGCTGACAGCTTCCCAATGCATCAGAGGCATGAAACTACCTTTGGAATGCCACTTTTAACATTTCTCATTGAATAATGATGGTGAACTTGAAAGAATTTACTTGTTTCAGATATTTTCAAGTCATTGTATTCAGTGTTGTGCTGCTCAGATGAGAAGTGGATATATACAAATGGATGTAGGTGTGTGTTGTAAAAGTAATTGTCTTATTCCCTCTAGGGCCTGGGATATTTGTCAATACATCTGGATTGCATAAACTCTTGGGTATTATCCAGGTAAATCATTAATGCTGCTTCTATATGCACCTGAAGGATGGAAGAATTGGTTTAAAAAGTATGGAAAGACACTGGATCCATTTTGGTTTTGATTGTATGTACACTTGTGCAGTGATGGAAGACGATGGGGCTTTGATGAGGAAGCTGCTGCCTAATGGGATGTTCTGCTTTGCTTTTACCCAGGTTGTTTTACAGTTCTGATGTCCCTTTTGGAGATGCTCGATTTAAACTTGTCTGGTTGTAACCTCCACAAGGTGGAGCTGGGTTATGGAGCTGTTCACTTCCTAACAGCAATGTTTGGGAATAGGAAAGCTTGTGAAATAACAGGACTGGCCAAAGGGAAGAAAACCCAAATAAAACATAATTTAAATGTATTTTATTCATCTAATTATTAAATAAGGAATGTGTAAAACAAGGAGCTAATGGCCACTTGTGGGTATCCTCATGGTGCCGCCAATCCTCTCCCTGGTCTGCATTTGCCAAGCATTGATTATGGAAATACTTGGGCCCCATAAAATCAGGAGGGACAATGGCCCAGTGGCCTGAAATGCCCTCTGAAGCTGACTAAAGCTCTTAAGATTCTTGAGTAAGCCTCAGAAAGGCAGTGAGGTTTGGACAGCATAAAGTTCAAACAAAAGAGCATCTCAGCCATAATGTCACATACTGGGAAACTTGCTGGCCCTTGGGATTAAACTCACTATTCCCAGAATCTGCTGATTACAGAGCATCGTCTTAGCCTCAGTTACTGGGTGTCAGATTGAATTAGACCTTTTCCTGACGCTGCATGGGACCTTCCCAAATACTTGTGGGTGCTTTTTGGATCAAAAAGATCTCTCCCCGCCGCCCCCCCATCTTTAGGAAGTGGGTGATGATAAGGATGACATTTTAATGTGTGTTAATCATTGCTTTTCTGTCTTTGATTATTTATTTTTTTTTTAATTAAAAGTAATCATTTAGCCACTGATGCAAGAAATTCCATGGCATTAAAGTCTGGAATTCCTATAAAATAAAGTCTGTCTTGGCTGGCAATGTTCAGGCTCTTTGTAGAGTGCTCTGATTTCATTCTCCTCACTGGTAGCCTGCCTAATAGATCAGCTGCCAGCCTCTTCCAGAGATCCTTGATGACATAGATATTTCTTCTGGATTACATGCTGCTCGCAAATGTAATCTGTGCTTCTAGGAAGCACTGGGATGTCCAAAGGTGAAAAACAATGGACCCACAGGCAGGAGGAGAGTAAAATCTATTTAAGAGGAAAAATGAGGAAGAACATAGCAATTCACTCCCTCTGAAAAGCATCCAGCTCTGCATTTGGCAGCAGCAATTGAACTCTTTCTTTCCCTCCTCAATAGTCTTGCTCGTTTCACTTGTTCAGTGTAATTCTTTTTCATCTAAAGGTTTACTTGCTGTCTTAGCTTGGTTGTGAATCTTTGTCTAGGGTTGGAATTGAATAGAAAAGGATAATCTTTATAATTTAAAATGGGTTAAATGCCAAGACTTAATAATGGAAACAAGCTGGTTATAAATTAATATTGTTTTCTTCCTTTAGAAGAACCTTTATTAAAACATCCTCATACACCCTCTCTCTGGCTATTTTTCAGACATTAATATTATAACAGGAATTCTACTTGTATTTTGGTGGGTAGAGAACATCTTGCTGCACCCAGCTGATATTCTTCTAAGCTTGGCTAATTCCTTTTAAAAGTCTGAAGAAATCTTGTTTAGAAACATGATTAGGAGTTATAAATACTCGAGAAGCACAGCTGTTTTCATTGAAATGACTCTGGAAGGCCAAGCCTGTAAAAGAGCATCACCCGTAATCATAAGGCATCATGTACAGGAAAGGGCAAGAAGCGAAACTCTGTGGAGACTTGATGGAAGCTTTTAATTGGCTAGCTGGGCAGCTAGATATGGTTATAACTTTATCTGTTTATTTTCTAAGGAAAGCATTATTATTTTAGTGTGTCATGCCTGAAACTTTAAGGATATTGGGAAAGTTCTTTTACAGTCGGGTGTGACTGCGATCTCACGAATGTGTAGTTTGTGTTTAACCACAGCCAGAAGTTGGAAAGAGCATGGATAATGTCGTCTGTGTAGTTTGAATGTATTGGGATACCAGCTTGTGTTTGGAACAATGAGAAAGCCATGCGGTTAGCAGGAACTGCATGTAAAGATATATTCATGCAAGGCTCTCTGTCTTTATTTAATAAGAGGAGATCTAGTTGAGGTTATTCCAGTAGTAACTTTTATGGAGATGCTTCTCGATGCAAAGCTCTGTTAGGGGATTTGCTGGAAACAGTTATTAAGTCTCTCCATTTTCTTCCATCCATTTCCCAGACTGTATTCAACATCGATGCTCCAGAAGGTGCAACAGATCTCAGGCTGCATCAGTCGATATCGAAATACTATAAGGTATGGGATGCTTTGTGTTCTACAGCCTTCCTTTCTGGCATTTAATGCCTGTGCTTAGTGCATCCAAGGCTATCCATGTGGTTAGTTGAGATTCCAAGGAAAAAGAGGAGCTTCTTTTTAAAGAAACTCTAAAAGGAAACTGGCAAACTGCTGCAAATGTGAATCACTGAAAACTGTGATACTGCGTATAATGCAAGAGTTGGTGTGTTCTTCCAGTAACCTCTTAACTTTAGCCTATTACCAAGCATGTGCAGCAGAGCCACTGAACCTCCCTCAACCAGTCCTTTAAATTAGAGGTTGAGACTTATATGCTGTGATATAATGAACTTTAGGAAAAGAGCTGTTTTAGATAAATGGCAACTTTCATATTAAGTCCAAGACACTATTTCTGTTGCCAAATGAAGCAAGTCTTTCTAACACAACAGTATATCTTTTTTCCTAGCCTGGGTGTTTTATTCTGGTAGACAATACCCAAAGAATTGGATTCTTTGCTTAGGGCAGCCCATGAAAAGCTGCTTCCATAAACTGACTTAGAATGGCTGGTTGAATTGCTTTGTGTTAGGTATGTTATGAAAGACTGGAAACAAAATAGGAAAGACAGGCAGGAAATAACACAGCCTTAGCAACACTATGAAAATGACACTAATTATGTTACTATCATGAACATGGGCAAGCTTTTTTGACGGATGAAGTGCTGGTTCATTTCTGTTGCCACCTCCAGAAATGCTTCTGTTCTTTGTGCTCAGGTACATATTCACCTGGATGAAAGTAATCAGAAGAAACAAAAGACAGATCTCTGGAATTCATCATCTACAAGAAAAGGTATGGGGCTTGGTCTTGGGGAGGCTCAGTCAAAAGCTGGGTTGCAAACTACTCAGCTGCTCCTTTCTGATTCAAGTAAGAGCGAACAACTGAAGACATCCGCATCTTCATTACTTCACATCTGTGAACAGCGAGGTCCTCACTGTAGGATTCTGAGTGAGACACCACTTGTGTTATCTTAAATGTTAAAAATGACTCTGAGAAATAAAGGGCTGAACAATAACTCGGTGAAGGCACACTCCAGATCTGTCTATATGTAAAAGAAGTATTTAAAACCCAAATAGCACAGTAGTGTTCCTACTTGTAAAGCTGGAAAGTCTTAACTGTGTGATCAGTATGCCTTGTTGCCATGGTCCAAGTTAAAACCATCTGTAGATGTGGGACTGGGAGAGATTTTGGGTTTTCCTCCACTTAGTTAGCAGAGAACCAATGGGTGGTTTGGTTGTAGGGGTTTTTGGTCATATTCTGTAAGATGCAGAGGCTTGGAGCATCAGTGTTGTGCCAGAACTCTTTCTCCAGAACAGGGTAGGTTTTTTGAGGCTTTGGGACTTTATGTTTGAGGAATTCTAGGGTTGTTTGAGGGTGCTCCTCTGCAGGTTTATGTTTCCAAGCACAGTTTCTAGGGCAATTATTCCAGTGAAAGAAAATCACCTCCATTAGGGAATGGTTGCTTGGGTTGGAGTAGAAAAAACATTCAGACCAGCCCAAGAATGGGAAATCCCATTTCAGGATTGACGCAGAGGTTCATGGGATGTTCTGTTATTGTCATACCAGCCAAATTTGTGCAGCTGTGATGTGTTCAGCACAAACTCAGTGTTGCTAAGGCTGTAATTACCTACATAGCGGAGGAGTTATAATTGGCTGTCTCATTCTGAAGCTCCATAAGGAAGACTGGTGATGAGGCAGAGAAAAAACGCTTCAGAACATGAATTCTTAGCCAGAAAAATGCCATGGCAGGTAATGCCCTGAGGGCACTGTTAACCTCCTCTGAGATATAATCTCTTCTTGTGCAACTCCCCAAGTTCTTCAGAGCATGGTGTCACTTCTTGGTAGTTTCAGTCTCAATTATACTTCTATATAGTGTATATATATAATGTTTATATATGTGCTATATATAGTGTGTATATATATCTATATATAGTGTATATATATGCTGTATATAGTGATAATGTATATATATGTGCTATATATAGTGTGTGTATATATCTATATATAGTGTATATATATCTATATAATAAGTGTGTATATATATCTTCAGCTGAGATTTGTCCCTCCCCTTGACTCTGTCCTCCCATCTATTTTGTTCTGTAAGCTCTGCAGAACTTAGTATCTGGGACTACCTCAGTATCACCATGCTTCAAAACAACATATTTAGAATTAAAACTTGGCTCCTGAATCAAAAGCTTATCCTAATGCTCCTGTAAGCCAGCACTGAGCTTGGCTTTGCTTGGCTCCAAGACTCTTTTCTGATGCTTTTTGAATAAATACAGTTAGGTGGAAAACAAACCACTTTCTGATTAGAGAAGACAGATGCAGATCCCTTTCCTTAAGCCTTCTTAGAAGAATACTCTTCAAGGATCTTTGTAATTACTCAATGAAGTGCTCTTGAGAATGTAAATAGGTGATTCATGGAAGTCCTTTTGTTAAGGACAAAAGTAACACTTTTTGGAGAATGAATTTCCATGAATTTAGTGTCCCCTGAAGTGTTTCCACAGAGATCTGTGCTGCTTGGGACTCTGCCAGTATTGTTTTCCTGGGATATTGCTCAATTGGAGTTTGAAGTCACAGCAATACATCTAAGTAGCTTTTGCTAAGCATGTGCAGGAGGAGGCTTATAGAAACGCTTCAGGCTTATTGCATGATTTGGAGGATGTAGACACAAACCCGGTACAAAGCAGTCACAGGATTCTTTGGGGATTTAGTAGACACATACCAATATATCCCCTTTTCAAATAAAACCAGTATTTGGAAGTCCTCATGCAGCAGATGTATGTTGAGGCTTGCGCTGTGTACAGCCCTAGTGGAGGCCAGACCAGACTGAGCAAGTCTCCAGCTCCCTGTAGAGGCATAGCAGATTGTATGGAAATAATGCAAACCTTTCAGGAATGGCTGTTTCCAAAGGGCTTCATGGAAATTACTCAAGCATCATTCTGTACAGATGCTGAAGTTTCTTAAGCTCCTGACATAAGTGACTTTGCTCCTATGTGTAGACATTGGCCTGTTCATCCACAGATGCTCACGAGCTTGCACCAGGTCTCAGAGTGAATTAAAGATGCAGGTTCTGCCAAATTCTGGAAGGTGATATTTTTTTTTCTAGGATCTAGACACCATCTGGATGGATTTGCCCACATGAGATAAAAGATAAAACTTTAGCTAAAGATAAGCGTTCTCTTGTAATTCTAAGCAGTGACTCACTGGGCACATGTTAGTGGGGATTTCCTGAAGCTGCCAACTCCTTTTGGAAAGCCAATCTTGTAATGAAGGGTGGGCACATAAAAGACATGTACATGATGCATATATATATTTGTTACTGAAACTAATTGTGCAAAACAGAATCAGAGCCAGAAGCTGTTGTTTTATTTGTCTGATCTTGTCAGCATAGATGATTGTTTCATTGACTGTCTCAGTTTTCAGCAGGACCAACAGTGGTATGACTCTAAGCTGAACAGTTAAAGAAGGGCTGGTGTGATATATCCATTTTTCTTTGTCCTCTCTGTTGATGATTTATAGCATGCCAGACTGTGCTGCACATCTATATCCATACCACATAGAAGATTTGAGCAGGAGTTGAAAGGTTTGGAAGTTGACTATGGAGAAAATGGAATGTTTAGGTGAAAGGCTTATAGCTGTTGGAAATTCCTAATGGAGAAGAGGTTCTTCTCTTTTCAAGCAAGAGCAGGAGTAGAGAGATACTTTACCAACTTCAGTCATTTCTCCTTTATCCCAGTATTCTACAGTTCTTCTGCCATGTTTCCCCTTCTGGTTATCCTTGACTGCAGGAAGTGAATCAATGGATGGAGGACCGAGTATTTTTGTCTGCTCAACCTACCTGTAACAATGAGATGTGATGCCCTGTCTTTAACCACCCTCTGATTAGAAGTATAATCTGTTTAAGGTGTGATGCAGCAATGACCTTTAAAAACTGTATTTTGAATGGGCAGAACAATAAAATCTGGGATGGACCAAAGCAGAACATACCATGTGTCTATAACTTTTACCTTCAGCTGCTGGCCAGCTTACTTTCAGGAGTTCAGATGGAATGTGCTGTTAGAGTGTCTTACTCTAATTTTACCACTAACAGACTTGCTTCTTGGTGTTTTCTCTTTATTTGATACAGAAAAGACCTTAAGCTATTGGTGTTTCAGCCCTGGATACAGCATGCATGAGCTTGTTCGTCAAGGAGTCAGGACAATTATCCTTACTAGTGGGACACTCTCCCCACTCTCCTCATTTACAATGGAAATGCAGATGTAAGTACCTAGATGTTTGAACAGGTAATGCACAATCTGCTCTCATGAGTTTAGATTTTATACCTGGATTTTTGAGTGTTTGGGGCTGGCAACCAGGAGGGGATCACATAATGAGTATGTCTGGGATCTCACTTTCCTGTTTCTGTAGCCCTTTTCCTGTCCGCTTGGAGAATCCTCATGTCATCGATAAACACCAGCTCTGGGTTGGGATCATTTCTAAGGGACCTGATGGCACTGTGCTGACTTCTACCTATGAAAGAAGGTAATGAACTTCCATGTGGAATTCTGGTTTGAAGTCTTGTGTTCTGACACTTTGTGTTCTGCTCACAGGAGGATGCTCGTGAAATAAGTGGTCTCTGTAGCTCTTTACCTGGATAAGCACTGTGCTGAGTACCACGACCCTTTAACTACTAGTGTTAAAATTGAGAGCTGGAGGGCTGGAAGAGACTAAATGCCAGAGCACTGAGCTGTGCTGAAGTCCTTATTGACTAGCCTCTCTTTTACCTCTGCATTACCTTCTTAAGGAAAATGTATCCACATCTTTGTCAACAAGCTTTTCATCATCATTTTTCTTGCTTTTCTCTAGTATTTCATCATCTTCCATGTGTCTTTCTGGTCTTGGGTACTTCTGGTGCCAGCAGAGAAGGCCAAACATCACTTCATCGTGTATTGACTTTCCTGTGCAGTGCGATGATCTCATTGGCATCTCTGTGTACAGTTTTAGAAGGCAGTTTCATGCTTTGGTTCACTTGTCAGAAGGCTCTGTGCTTGCCAGTTCTCTGCAGTTACTATAGAGAGGCATCACACTGATGCTAGAGCCGTGTTTGGGGATGTGATCCTTCTGTAGTGGTTTGAAATGAGAATCAGTTCTTTGTGTCTGATACTCATGTTCTCCCCTTTAGCTTTCTTCCCATCATTCTTCAATCTGTCTCAATTTCAACATCAGAGAGAAAACACTGGCTGAGAATTCCATGACTTAGCCTGCTGCAGGCCTGCCTTACTCATTTTTAGGAATACAGAAAAATAGATCTCCGAGAGCTTTTACTGGAAAAAAACCCACCAAATCAGAGTGGAGGAATGCCAGATGTTCCACAGAACTGGAAAAGGACTTGGCAATTGTAGTTGATTTTACAGAGAATAAGCAGTCTGGAAACAGGGCTCAGACTGTTTTTCACTTACAGAAGCTTCATGTGCTGTTTCAGTATATTTCATTGAAGATGCTATCTATTGAAGGGAGAAGGTTGGGGATCCCTCTCCTGAGGACTGGAGCACCTGCTTTCTTGCAGGAAGGGAATTCACAGTGGGTGCTGTGTTTTGCCAGTGTCTGTATGGTGATACTGGTATTTTTAGGGCTTATAAAAATAAATACCTTTTGGTTTTATCCCTGCATATATAAGTTTCCAGGGAAAACAGTGCCCAGAGCTACAAGGCACAAAAAAGAAAGAACCATAAAGGTATGAGAGCCCAGGTGAGTTGTCAGTCAGGGCTGGAAGGCACAGAAATACTCATCATTGCAGGGCAGTGCTTTTTTCAGTCAACCCAAAAGTGATTTGCATTATGTCACAGGTAAGTAATAACCATAATAACCAGATAGTAACCTGGCAGCTTCACCACACATTCATCAATAGTTCATTTAAACAGGTGTAATGCTAGTCAGGCTTGGCAGATCTCCAGACTTTGTTGGCAGGCAGAGCCTTTAATTGTTAGTATTAATCATGGAGCTCAGATGCTGACCATTTCTATTTGTTATGCTTTGATACTCCCAAAATTTAGGTCATCTGCAGTGCTAATGAAAAGAATATTTAATAGTTATGTGTAGTCAAGGTTTTACAAGTTTTGTGTCCTTACTGTGGGTGCTTGCCACAGGAAGGAGAGCAGTTTTAAGCGTGGATATGCTGCGTGAGATGAGTATAACGTGTGTGAAGTACACAAGATGTGTCAATACGTGTGAAATACCTAGAAAAGGAAGTACATTTATGCTGCTTGATTTTTTTCCTCATAGGTTTTCAGAGGATTATTTGTCTTCTCTGGGGAAAACAGTTGGTAAGTGAAGTGTGTGGTTTTCAAGTGGGTTGTTGCATGGCATTTTTATGAGTCCCAGAAGGAGGAATACTAAAGATGACTTGGTAAGGCAGAGAAAGGTAAAGGATTGCATTGTGTTATCTAACTGCTCTCTGGTTCTGTGTGCTGCTGTTTGCCCAGGCAGCTGGCTGCTGTCATTGTAAATGTGTCTGCATCCTAGGTTTAATGTTTCCAAATAGGAGTTATTTTATTGTCAGATGTTTCCATTTGGGTCATAAATGTGGTCCCTAAACACGGTCAGAAGGTGGCGCAGATGCACGGCGATGATGCAGCTGGGCATCCTTTGCCAGGGCAATAGAGCATCACAAGAAGTCAATGCAGTTTCTTGTGGTGCTTTTAAAGGTACTGTGTCAAGCCTGCCCTAAGTATGTCTGACTAGAAAAGTGTATTCTATGTGACCAGGAAACTCTTGAAAGCAGTCTTGTGGCATCTCATCCATTGCTTTGAATGTTCAGACTGCAGGGGAGAAAATGATCTAAAACTAGGTCCTGCTGTCACAAGGGGCACTGTGGCAGATGATGTAGTGTTTGGTGTAGCTCACATCTTTCAGAAAGCTAGTTAGGTATCTGTATTAAGGTTTATACCTTCATGACAACATTATTGAACTAATTTTATAAATGTGAAGCAACTTCTAAAACGTGAATATTGGTGTCAAGAAAGTAGAGATTTTTGGAAGGAGCCATGCTGTTACTTTGCTTCTACAGTCTTCCCAGGATGGAAATGCCCTTGGCTACTTATTTATCTATCTCACTGCAGGTAACTTGGTGCGAGTTGTGCCGGATGGACTGTTGGTGTTCTTTTCATCGTATCCTGTCATGGATAAAAGCCTGGAATATTGGAGAGTATGCTCATTGCTCTGCCTTTATTAGGTGTTTGGTTACATGGGTCAGGCAGTTTGTCCTTGTGCTGTCTAACCATGCTCATTAAAAGTTCTTTGTTAATAAGTTAATTATGAAATCTGGTAATTAAAAGCCCAGGTCAGGCTTCTTTTATTTTGATCACCCTGCATTGAAATGCAGTGTTGCAGGAACCAAACCCCAAAAGATCTTAATACACTGTCTCTGGTATGTGCTTACATGGCTGTTTCTGATATGTTCATCTGCTTATCAGGAGCATGATCTTGCTAGCAGAATAGAAGAGGTGAAGTCAATGTTTGTGGAGCCCAGGAACAAAGGAAGCTTTTCAGAGGTGGGTTATTTGCATTATGTACCTGTAACGCTTTCAGAAACTTTTTATGTTCAGATACCTTCCCCAAGATGTGTTTGGGTTTGAAACCCAAATTTTATCCTGTGATAAAATTGATTTTAGGACAAATTGTTATCCTAGGATAACTATAACTAAAATAACTAGCATCCTAGTGTTACTTTACCAGTCAGCATCTCTTAATGTCCTGCAGGACATTTCCTCCCAGCACTTGTTGTGCTTTAGATGCTAAGGGGCTGAGCAGTGTCATCTTGTTTATTTATAGCCATTCTGTTTGCTTCTTAGAGTAAGTGTAATGCTTGGATTGCTTTCCTAGTCTGCTGGTTTCCTCAAGTTTCTGCAGAACCACACAACAGTCTGTGTTTCGCCTTCTTATCAGAAGTATCTGACATGAATCTCCTATGCTTACCCAGATGTGTTCTAGGTTTCACAGTGATGTTTTTTGCTGAGCAAGTGGCTTCTCACACTTGCAGTTAATAAAAGTAAAGAAAATTATATGAAGCCAAATTCATCACATTTTACATTTCGGTGTACAAGTCAAATTTGGCTAATACAACTTTCTACTTACGCAAAGGGTAATAACATTCCTGCTCTTGCTTAAACTTGTTTACCTTTTAGGTAATAGATGCCTACTATAATAGAGTTGTCTGTCCCAAGTCCAGTGGGGCTGCTTTTTTGGCAGTATGTCGGGGGAAGGTAACGTAACTGAGAACTTGTTTCATCTGAGTTCAGATTATATAGTTGATGGGGAAAAGATCATACGGATTTCAGTACATTTCTGTTACTTGTCTGTAATTACATGGGGGGGAGATACAAGTAAAAGAAGTAGAATGCCCTGAAGCCTTTTCAAAATGATATCAAGTTTATGTATGCCTCATTCATGTCTTTATTAAAGAAATATGTCTTTGAGTTCCTTAAATGGGATGAGCATCATCACACTTGCATTTCTTCTTGGCTGCTCGCTTGAAAACTCAGCCCATTAAATGAGAACAACTGTCTGGGAGGAGAACTAGAGGAAACATTTGTAATGAAACATGTTAGAACAACGCTGCTGAAAACCAGAAATATTGCTTGGCTTTAAAACATTTACGTGAACTTCAAGTCCATTTGGCTTTTCATTTGCACTTTGCAGTGCTGATAAATGGATTTATGATTATCACTGGGAACGTTTGCAGAATCATAGATTACTCTTAAAGCCTTTTTGGTGCTGCTTACCAAGAGATTTCCTTTGAACCTTCAGTCCCAGCCTCCAAAGTGGCTGTCAGATCAGTGAAGGACAGACAGAGCTCTTTGTGCTGGGACTCTCAGCTGAGTATTCCCATCCTTCCAACAGTAGTGTATTACCCTGAGAGGATTTGAGTCTGTGGAGAGATCTTGCTTTGCAGTAATGTGCAGTTGAAAGGCAGACTGTTTAGCTTGTTGAGGTCAAAGAGTTAATTGTATGGCTACAAAATTGGAACTGTTGGGGAAGATAAACCAAAAGGCGTGTGTTGTCAAAAGCTCTAAAACTCGCTCACTTCTTAACCAGATTTCTGATACCTTTCCATTATTGCTTTGAAGTGATTCTGTTCGCTTTTAATGTCAGAAAAGGTTTTGTCACTTTCTCATGTCTTGTTAGCAATTCAGGCTGTGGAAGGTTTAAATAGAGGTATTGGCTGATAACTTCAGACATCTGAATGCAGCTGTTCATTGATTGTGTTGGCTGAGGATATGCTTTGTCAGGGCCTCCTGGAGGGAAACGAGATGCTTAAAGGCCTGATATTAAAAGGAAAAAAATCTAGTTGAAACCATGCATATCATATTCATATGCTATGCTTGGCTAGGAGTTAAATTTAGTAGAGGGAAAAGCCTGAATTGTTCTGAAGCATCACTTCAAATCCTGTTGATAACGGGAAGCACTGTCTCCTCAGGCCAGCGAGGGCTTGGACTTTGCAGACAGAAATGGCCGGGGAGTCATCATTACTGGGCTCCCATTTCCTCCTCTTATGGAGCCCAGGGTTGTTCTGAAGATGCAGTTTCTGGATGAGATGAGAAGACGTGGGACAGGCTCACAGGTGATCCTGGGCTGTGTTTCACTGCTGGCTGTTTGCAGCTTTGTGTCATTGTTTCTCCCTCTCGTCTCTGTGGATTTTGGCTTTTGTTACCCTCCCAGCCTTGTGGCACCTGGAATGTCACAAGGAGGTTGTCACAAACGGAGTCACTTTTAGTTAGATAATGTTAAGGGTTCTGAATTCTTTCTCCGGTGGCATGGTGTCAATCAAAGAGAGAATCAAATCTGGTATAATTAAGGTTTCAGTCAAACTCTTTGGGTTTGTATTATCTCTCCTCCATCTTTCTATGGGAATTGTTTCATCCAGAGAGTGGGCAGGAGGAGTTGCCTGTGCTGGCTGCTCTGGCTTTTTACAAAAGTATGTATGTTACAGAACAGGGGGAGTGGCTTGAACCTGCCCGAGGGGAGACTGAGCTGAGCTCTTAGGCAGAAGCTCTTCCCTGTGAGGGTGCTGAGGCGCTGGCACAGGGTGCCCAGAGAAGCTGTGGCTGCCCCATCCCTGGCAGTGCTCAAGGCCAGGTTGGACACAGGGGCTTGGAGCAAGCTGCTCCAGTGGAAGGGGTCCCTGCCCGTGGCAGGGGTTGGGACTGGGTGAGCTTTAAGGTCCCTTCAACACTAACCACTGTGGGATTCTATATTTGAGTTTCCTGTGCACCACATGTCGGGTGATGTTCAAGTCAACCTGGTTTTGGTTTTCCTAGGCTTCCAGGGGTTTGTCAGTAGATCTTGTTGGCTGTGATTTCTTATTTCTGTAGAAATAGTGACTGTACAGCTCATAGAATACGTTTTACCTGGCAATTAATGTTGATTCTTCCTCCCACCTCTTGCAGTGTCTGTCTGGGCGGGAGTGGTACAACCAGCAAGCTTCCCGGGCTGTTAACCAGGCTATTGGCAGGGTCATCAGACATCGCCAGGACTATGGTGCTATCTTCCTGTGTGATGAAAGGTGAATCCTAGGCTCTAGAGCATAAACATACATCTCTGTATGTTTATGTATGTATCCCTGTATTTATCCTTTATCTTCTATGTAAATTGCTGATGTTACTGTTTGGAGTAGGCTGTGGTTCATAAGTAATTCCATTATTTTATATAATTGGCTATATAAATACTGCACTGCTTCAGGAAAGTAATGAGATTTTGATCATCTGCTCCCAAAATATACTGGTTTTAGAGCTGCAGGAGGATATTAATGGTATTAATGCAGAATAAGCCCATTTATTGAATTCCTGTTTGTAATGCTGCTGGAAATTATGGATAATAACTTGTGGGCTTGCATTTTCTCCATCTCTCACTTGAGAAGGCAGTTGCTGGCAATGCAGTATTTTGTGAGAAGAAAAGATTGTATTACTGAAACTGTATAATAGATATTATAGTAATATTATATTGCATTTATAGCCATTAATATCAATTAATATAGTAGGTATACAGTAGGCAACAGGAGTTTAATTGGTTGCCTTCAATGCTGAAGCTGAACTGGGGACAGTGGGCACAGGGCTGGACAGAGCCTTGGGCCATCTGGTCTAGTGGAAGGTGTCCCTGCCTGTGGTAGGGAGTTGGAACTGAATGATCTTAATGTCCTTTCCAGCCCTCATCATTCTATGTTCTAAACAGATCCATTTTCTCCCGAGTGAACTCATCACCCCCTTGTATTTACTGCACTCTTTCAACCTGTTGTTGTCTCGCTGCTCCTCCCTTGTGCTTTTGGACCCTGATCAAGCATTTGTTTAGTTCATTTAGGCCAACATGGCAAATAATTCTCCTCTTTTTCCAATCTTATGCAGGTTCAGCACTGATAATATGAGATGCAGGCTGCCTTCGTGGGTCCGCCCCTACGTGAACGTCTATGACAACTTTGGGCATGCAGTCAGAAGCGTCTCCATCTTCTACCGTGTTGCTCAAGAAGTGGTAAGTGTCTTTAAAAAAAACCAATCCCTCCATAAATCTTCTTGATAGTGTTGGAAATTGGGAATACTGAGCCAGGTGAGGAATGCAATGGAGTAATTTGTCACTTCCAAACACTGGAAGGTTTATGGGAAAGGAGAGATGCCTCGTTTTTCTCCATGAGTGAGCTGGGACAGGATGTGCTGTCATGCTGGGCAACTCATTAGGCTAGATCACAAAAATAACTTCCTTTCCCACTTCCTTCCAAACAGAGCTTTTATCGGATGGTGTGCAAATACTGGTACTGATGTTAGCATCAAAAAGCTTTCTGTTTCATACACAGGGAGAGGGTGTATGTGTGGAAGAGTCATCAAACCCTTAAATTTAAATCAAAGCTGGCTGGCATAGAGTATGAGATAAACCCATCAGTATTCATGCAGTTCATCCCTGGGTCATCTTTACCGATATGGCTTTTCTCGTTGCATTAAGAAGCTCTTTTTCTCTGTATTAGTTCCTTGATTTTAAAAGGTAATGTTGTAAAAAGACTTTCAAACTGACTGGAGAAGTGGGCTGGAAGACAGAATGGGGAGTTCTCTGTCCCTAAAATAGGGATTAAGATTAAAACAAACACAATTTCACATACAGACCTGGATGACTTCCTGGAAGATGCTTGGGCCAAATACAAGTTGTTCAGAATACTAAGTTACAGATAGATGGTGGTGGGTGACTTGATGATCTTTTCTGATCATAAATGGAAGTTTCATGGTACAATAAGAACCACAACCCAAAAAGCTTTGCCAGAGTTGCTGTGTCGCAGGGATCGTGTAAGGAAGCAATTGTTCTTTAGCAGGATCGTGGCCCTTTTTCTGTTACACAAGATCACTTAGTGCTAAGCCTGCCTACTACACTTCATCCATCAGTCTTGCTGTCCAGGATTATTGGGTATAAATGAGATGTCTTTGGGTTTTTGGCTGCAAAGGAAGTGGTGTGGAAGAGTGGATTTTGCCTGCTGTAACACTTCATCAACTGTTTGCAGATGCCCTTACCCCTGCCACAAGGCCCTTCTGGCTCTGCTGGTTCCCAGAGTGAAAGCGATGCGGTACCATCTACTTCATCTGAACAGACCCTCTGCCTGAGAAAAGCCAAACACTTGGATGACCATGTTCCCAGTTTGCAGAGGAAAAGAAAAGGTAAGTGTAGGCCCTCACAGATGTACTTTTCTGTTTTAAACTGAACTGAAAAAGGAGGAGCAAGAGACTAGAAACTGGAATGGGAGAGAAAGCAAGGAGGGCTCAGAGCGATGTAAAAGTGTGATCAAAGAGGACATAGCTTGGTATGAGATAAAGGGGGAACCAGTTGCAGCTATAGAGCAAAGAGGCAGGTGTGGCTTGACCAAACCATCCTGCAGCACAGGAGGAGATTGGTAGAATGTCATTGTTTGAAAGAATAACAACTGAAGTCTGTGTCTGACTAACGCTGACTTTCGTGTCTGTCTTCCATCCTGTTATACAAATGGCTGTTGCACAGTAATTTGACTTAAGAAAACAGAAAGCTGGCATTTACCTTGGAACAGAGAAGCTTATCAAGATTTGTGGTTAGCTCATGCCAGCATACAGTGTTTCCCATGTCAGTTATTCTTTGGGAATGTTCTGCTCTAGATTGGTTACTGGTTTGGAACAGAACAATGAAGTTGTGTTTAAATCTGTAGTTCCAAGGCCATGATGAGTGACCATGAGGCTGATTTCACATTGCATGGAAGCCAGTGTGACTGCAGGCTGTCCAAAGGCATTGCTTTTTCTCCCCCAGTTTCCAACCCTGTGCTTATGCTCCTTCCCTTGATTTGAATCCATCAGTTGTGCAACTGAGAGCAAGCAGGTGATCTTGCTGAACCAACTCACCTTACATCCATGTGACTGCTAGACCCATCTCAAAAGATGGGCTGCAGCGTGTGGCTGGAGGTAAAGGGAAGAAGCTGCATTGCCTCTTGACACACGTTTTTCAGTTGCATTGCATTTGCTGTAACATCAAACTGCCCGTGTAATCACAGTTTTGGCTAAAGAGTCTCTTGTACTGATTAATTTATAGTGTAATATACTTCCTTCTCAGAAGGACTTTTCTTAGTAGCTGACTGTTGAAGTCATTTCACAAAGTAGTGGAAATACATTTTGAAGAGAATGCCTTTTAGAAGTAGCAAATTGATACTAACTTGACCTACAGCTCAAACGTCTTCTATTTGAGGCCAAATACACCTGGATCCTGGTTAGTGAAGATATCTATTCTTGGGACCGTGAGGGTGACTGTTTCTTATAGGTATTGACACTGTGAGAATTGTAGCCTCAAAAGAACCTTGTTCTGCTTAAAAATAATAAACTATATTTCATGCCAGAATCTCTTAAACACAGGAACTGAGTTTTGGGGAAATCTATAAAGCCTAAGTAGTTAAATACAGATTACTGTTGCAGTAAGAATTTTTCCATTGATCATAAGCTATTTTGAGGTTAAATATGACCATCACTGAAGGAGTAGTTTGAGAGAAGTCCACCACACTTTGGTAACAAATGCTTGAGCAATGTGAGGGGTAAGTAACCAAAACAGTTTGCCTTACCAAGTCATATAAGTTTTGCAAGATGGGGAGATGAAATAAACCAACACATCTGTGTAGATTGCTACATGAGATTCTGAGCTATTACTAAGGCAAAGACAACAAAAGATGTGGAACGTTAATTTGTCATCTCTGTCATGCTGTAATGCCAGCAAGTGAAGATGGAGCATCCAGCCTGTGCATGGAATATGAACCAAAGCTCGTCTCGCCTAAAAGACCACGTATTGGGCTCTTGGATGCATTGGAGCGCAGTGAGAAGAGCAGCGAAGGTACAGAGGAGGAGAATGACTTGTCAGGAGAGGAAAAGGTAATGGCAAAGCAAAATGCTTGCATCTAAGTGAAAATTGCAGGTTCTAAAATGAAATGAGTTTGGCATTGATTGAAGAGTACCGGTTTGACCCTCTTTTAAGAGAAGCTCACTGTAATCAGCACTGGTAATGGCAAGTTCTAATAATTAAGCTTAATCAAAGGGTTTCCTTGCCACATTTAACTGAATGACCATACTGGTGCTGTGCTCTGTGGCTGCTGACCACATAGATTCCTGGAGTTAACCGTGCTCTCTGGAGAGCAGAGAGCTCTCAGAGGAGAGATGGGGTAGCTACACGGCTCCTTCTGGGTGCAAACTGTGTCAGCACTTGGGCTGTGACCAGATCCTGGGTTTCAAAAAGGGTGAGGGATTAGAAATGGCACTTTCAGATTAAAGAGCTTTGATTTAACTCAGAGAATGAATCTTGCAGGCTTACAGGATATTTCATCTGAACCAGAAGACCTCTACTCCATTACGATCAGCAAAGCTGCCTCTGTGCAGTTTGTTTTCTTTCCTCTTGGATTGGTGTTTTTGGTACAGTGGTGGTTAGGCTGTGGTGTTCTCTTTCCCAAAATCCCTGTCTGCAGCTCTCTTCTGTGCTACCATGAGCAGGAGTGTTGCAGGGCTGGCTTGCAGGCTCAGTTTGGCTGATGACCAGCATATGGCCTCCAGGAATGCCTATTGCAACATACCCAAGAGGTTTGCTTAGGGGAAAGAGTGCCTGGGGGGAAATGAGGAGGTATCTGGGGAATATCTGAGGAGGTCTAAGGGAGATGGCTGGAGCTGTGGACTGGACAGGGGAGTTACAGGCTTGGGGAAGCAAACAAGGATAATGAGCATTTAACTTGTCTGCAGCTGAGTGAGGAATTGGCTCCGTCACCCATGGGCCTTCACAATGCAAGCACCAGAAGTTCTTTGGAAGGGCTGTCCCATCCTCAGGGCTGTGGTAACTGGGCTGCAGTCTGTGGTTAACACACAGCCTTTGGCATAGCGCAGCATTTCCTTAAGTCAGAGAAGTTGCTGGGCCCAAGGGCTTGGCAGGGAGACAGCTCCTCTCCACTCTCTGGGTTCAGTGTTACCGTTCCTCTGTGGCTGCAGAGAACTGTGGGGTCACCCTGTGCTGCACCAAAGTCAACCTCTGGCACTGGAGATGTGGGGAGCAGAGCCCTGAGACATGCACTGAGTGCCTCTGAGGGAGCGGCTTTCATTCAGGATACAGCACTGAGCTGGCTTTAATCAGCGCTGCATTTGGACTGATAATGGGGTTGCTGTGCTTTATATCTCCCTTCACCCCATATTGTAGTGTCTGTGTTACTGTTTGTTCTTTTATCAAGGTTATGCTGTGCCCTTGTTCCCCCAGTAATGGAAACTCAGCTGCTGTCATTCTGAAACACTTTGCTGGGGTGAAAAACAGGAAAAGAAGCATTAGTCCTCTCAAAAAAGAATCAAAATACAAGAGCTAGTTCCTAAATCTGTTTAGAGAATGATTTGACAGTTCCTTTGATCCCTTTTCCCTTGAGAAATGCCTTGTGGAAACTTGTCTTTTAGAAGCCTTCTTTCTTCAGGATCGTGCTATTATGTGGTCCAGGATTAAGAAGATGGTTTTGATGGTTTTTCTGACTTACTGATGTATCATAAATATCTAATTTCCTGCTTCTATTCCAATTCTTCATTCTGTTACATGATGCTTAAATATATGTGCACTTAAATCATGGCCAGGCTTGTCTGGAATCCCACATCCTTGCAGTAGTATGAATGCACTGAAGGTTGTATTTGAGTATCAGCAGCTGACTGTACAAATGGTAACTCTGAGGGTATTTCCTTAGGGTTTGCTCACTTTAGTATCGCTGGTTTAGTTGTAGTTAATTTGACTCTGAAGCTTTGGGATCTGAATAAAGTCAGAGTGGAGCCTGGGGCTTCTGTTACATTTCACTGCTTCCTCTCACCCATGAACAACCCTGTTCTGTAAATGCACTGATAGTCACACACTTGCTATGAAATCCCTTTATTAGGCAAGAGCAAAGAGGTAAATCACTTCACATACCTGCTTTCTCAACAGGTATGTAGAAATCAGCTGGCATTACAAGTGATCCCACAGTTTCTTGTGTTGGTTGAGCTGGGTTTGATGTGGTTGATTCTGGCTTGATTTGGTGTTGGAGAGATGGCTGTTAAGCAGTTCCACTCCTCTGGCTTATGACTGCTTGCCTCTCTTTCGGAGGGATGCACCCCTATTCCCAGTCCCTCCAGTACAGATGCAGTTTGTTCTTATTGGGGATGGGAGGTGCTAAAGGAGCTTGTCAAGCCAGGAGTGTTTCTGCTCCTGTCTCATCTGCCCTGCTATTTTCTGCAAGGCTGCTTAGGTTTCCCTTCTCAGCACCCCAAGAGAAGCTTGAGAGAGGCTTTCTTTAGCAGATGAGTACTTGCAGGAAGGGGCACATGAGGCATCAGTCCCACACGGATGTGTGCATGCTCTAGGGCTACCCTGAGATGGGTAACTGTAAGTCCACTCTGATGCAACCTGCACCTTCAAGACAAACCTTTGGCTTTAATTTGCTCAGTTTTGATTTCTCTTTCTCACTTGTCCAGTAAGCGATCACCTTCCAGAAACACGTGTGTCTTGCAGGCTCTGTTGCAATCAGGTGGACTTGTTTCACTTTCTGGAATGGTGTCACTGGAATGGTGTCACTGGAAATGGCTGAATTCAGTGGAGAATTCAAAGGAGGAAATTCTTTCCTGTGAGGGTGGTGAGGCACTGGAATGGGTGCCCAGGGAGGTTGTGAATGCTCCATCCCTGGCAGTGTTCAAGGCCAGGTTGGACAGAGCCTTGGGTGAGATGGTTTAGAGCAAGGTGTCCCTGCCCATGGCAGGGGGGTTGGAACTGGATGATCTTCAGGTCCTTCCCAACCCAAACTGTTCTATGATTCTATGATAACATTATAAAGCTTTTCTTTTGACCTTTCTTCTTTTCATCTTCACAGGCGCAGCGTCTGTCAACACTTTCCCTTCAGCATGAGAAGAGGCTGGCAGATGAGCAGAAAGGAGGAAAGAAGAAAATAAAGCTCGTCAGCAATACAGTACGTGTTTTCCATATGTCTGTGTCATCCCTTTTGTTCTGTAGACTGCTTTAATTTGAATTGGAAATTTCCAGGCAGACAGATGAGTGATGCTGGAACAGCTGTGTCTTTCTTCCAAACCATAAATATTCATCAGTGCACAGCTGAAATCTTCCTGTCATTCGCTTTCTCAAATCCAGATGTCACAGACCCAATCAAGCACGGGTCCAGGTAGGGCTGGTGGGTGGAAAGAGTTCTTTACCTTGTTAGCAGCATCTCCTCCCATTGACTGGGTGTGATGGGTGGTCTTAGTCTGTTTGGATTAGACTAGAACAGAACAGTTCACTTGGAAGGGACCTACAGCGCTCATCGAATCCAGCTGCTGGTAAACTCATGAGCATCCTTGTGGTGCCAGCAGCTGTCCAAGATGCTGCCCTGGTGCTGGCTGCTGGCAGGCTCCCAGACCCCCCAGCAGGTGAAACGGATAGAAATCATCACAGCCCCTGGAGCTGATAACCCCCCAAGGTGTAAGGAAAGGAGCAGGTTCATTGCAGAAGGTTGTGTTGGCAGTGTTGCTGCCTGGTGTCATGATGAGTCAGCCTCGCTCTCAAGGTTTGGTGTAAATGCCATTTCTCTTATTAAGCCTTCTCCTAAGAATAGTGTTGTGTAACGAGACTTGGCTGCCTTCTCTAGGAATAGTCCTCTGAAGGAGTCAGTTCTGTCAGTAGGGAAGGTGAATAGCATCTCTTTTCTGTGAGGGAATGAATGCTCGCAGGCCTTAGAAGGGTTTAGAACTATAATAATCAGCTGGGGAAATAATATGCATGTGCCTCAAGGGATTGCCTCATTGATGCTGGTTTTTGTCCTGAAGACTTGTCACAAGGGTCTCATGGCTTTTATGTGTGTCTGAGCACATTGTAACGCATAGCTACTTCGTATGGTTGTTCTGAATCTTTTCCAAGTCCCTGCTGCTTATGATTGCTGAAGATGCTTCCCAATACAAGAGAGTACTCTGGCTTGCTGATGTGTATAGTGTCCTCAAGAAACGTCTTAGGGGAACTGTGTTTTGTTCTTTGTATCTCCTGTTTCAGAGGTGTGTTTGTCAATTCATTGGGCATTTCCAGGAGGTAGGCCAGTTAGATTGGTGCTTGTTCTGTGGCACTGAAACTGGGGTGTGGGTGTTGTGGGGGGCAATAACACGTGGATACGTGGGTGACAACCATAACTGCAAGACACGGTAGTTGAAGGTATTCATTGTTCTGCGTGCTGGCTGTGTTCGTATATTGCTTCCCCGTGAATTCCTGTGGGAATAACTCCTCGGGTCATGCTATTTCCTGAGATGTTTTCCTGTCTTCACAGCAAGCTGAAAAGAAACCCAACCCGACAGAGAATAAGAGGACTCGAGCAGCATCGTACTTGGCAACAGTGAAGAAGACCCTAAGCCAAGAGAGCTATAAGCTCTTCTCTGCGGCTCTTCAGGACTACAAGATAAGGGACGACTTCCTTGCTGTGTTATCTCAAATGAGTGCTCTCTTCATAGGGGATGAAGAAAATCATGTCTTGCTGCGAGGTATGATGGCTTCCCCAATGTCTTTATGTGACCTTTGTCTTTTAAATAGACTTGGGTACTTTGGAGGTGGTTTAGATTTAAAGTACAGATGAAGCAGGATGATAATCATGAACTTCCATTACTTTATATCTCCATTTGTCTCCATGCTACCTGACCTAGAAGTCCTGCCATTGTACGTTTCTGTGGCATTTGCTACCTGTTGTGGACTAATTTTTCCCCTTTTTTCCCCCTCTTTTCCCCATCTCTTCCTTCTCTCCAATGAAAGAATTTTACCAGTTTATTCGACCTCATCATAAGAAGCAGTTTGACGAAGCGTGTTACAATCTGACTGGAGAGGGCTGTGGCTACAAACCTGAGCACAGCCTCCCGCTGGAAGGGCAAGACATCCTAGCCCGGAGCTTAGGTGAGAAGCCTGTTTAAGCAGCAGGCAGCTGCATCATTTGATGGCCATTACCCAACTTTAAGAGCAAGATGTGTCTAATGTGTAGCAATGCAAGGATGGAAGCCAATTTAGTTTAATCAATATTCAGCTAAGTCTTTGCTCTGAATGATCCTCTTGCTTGCCTTCCCATGAGCATACACAGAGCCTGAGCATTGGTTACTGCGTAGTTACCATACTGTATGATGCCCATTTTATATCAAAAAGGAATTAAAGATCTATTTTAATCATGAATCTAGTCTGTGGATTTAAGATCTTTGTGTGCGTCATCTTGGCTACCCGCATAGTGCCACCAGAATTGTGAACAGAGGGTCATCATGTCCTCACAGAGCTTGTGAGGTTTCTTTGACACCCTGGAACAGTATAGCCCTGAATAAAGGAGGGTGTTAGCTCAGGCCCTTGTATCAGAGGAATGCACCTGCATCTTCAGGTGTCCTCTGCATAGCGTGGCATTGTGAAATGCACCATTCTGTGTTCATTGTTCCAATGTTCACTGCTAATGCACTGGGTTGATTTAACAGAAGAAGAAGAGAGTCAGCAGGAAATGACCTTCTGGAAGGACTCATGTGCTGGGCTAGATACTGAGCTCCACCTGAACCAGGGAGGTTTCCACTTGCTACCATGGCTGTGTAGTGCAGGTAACTTCATGTTAAAACCACAGTCGCAAGGTAACATGTTATGTTTGATGTTGTCACTAAGTCCTCCTGGTGGGAACCTATGTCTTTTGTGCTCACCTAGCAGAGAGCTCTTTATTGTAGGTAGAAGTGATGGTAATTCAGCATTTTCAGCAGGGATTGTACCAAATGAGCCACAAAAGCCATTAAATGAAAGCCAGGTCGATAGGAAAGAAACCAATTGAAGCCAGAAGTTTGCACTGAGGACTGAGCTGGCATGTGTCAGGGAGGGAAGGGCGAGTTAAACACAAGCTTCCTGCTTGTCCATGGTTTGTGAGAGAGCCATTTAAGGAATGTAATTTTAGATGAGGTCAGTGTGAGTCTAGGTATGAAGAAGAAAACAGTTTTGGTTTGGTTTTGGACGCTCTGTTTTTCCGTAGAAACAGAGACCAGCAAGTGTATCCTCCAAATTGCACGTATTCCCTCTGACCTCCCGTCCAGTGTTTATCTAGGAAGTCAAAGGCTCGGTTGTGATTTGATCACACATCTTCCTGAGAACAGCTGGCACTGTCTTGTATTTATAAGGCAATGAGTAAGGGCAGTTGGGCAGCTCGGAAGTCTCTCTTTAGAGTGCAAAGAACAGGCAATGGCTAATCCTTTCTTTTCAGAGAAGAGCTAAAAAGCTGCTGTTTCGCGGAAGGCTGTAAAAGCTTTCCGTGCCTGAAGCCATGGTGCTTATTTTGCTTGGATTTCCTGTTTTGTTTTCTGTGGTAAGAACATTTGAACAAAGCCACCTTAGTCTGAGACTGGTTTTCGCAGAAGCTTGTTTCCACTGAAAGTAAATGAGAATTTACTCATTTAAATAGCAATAAATGCCTGGGTACCTTCTGCTGCTCACAGGAGTATGCTCCTGTGACAGTGTCAGCTGTTAGATGTGCAGTAGGAGATACTGATGGTAAAATTCACACCCATGGTTTTTCCCCTTTCAGGAAACGGAACTAAGCCCGTCTTTTAAAACTGCCTTCTTTAACTTCTCTAAAAGGTCCTTTGATGAAGAATAAAGAGCTAAATGCCAAAAGATGGGACTGTTTAATTTCAATCAGTTTCTTAGCATATAAGTCATATGTATTTGCATGCCTGTAATATGCAAACCAGAGCTTTTCCTTTTAAAATGGGTCAGAAATCAAAGACTGATGTTTTGAATAGCAGTCTGCTTGGAGTTTAGCATGAGGTTCACAGCTGCCCCTAACTTCTGTTGTCCTCCTACGTTGCTCTTGTGCTGTCTTATGTGTCATTTCAGTTTTTTGGTGCTGTTTCCCTGTTGGTGTTTTCCCAACACCACAGACACAGGCAGATGCAGACATGCCTTGTCTCCTTCTGTTAATAAGAGGTGACAAATCTAGTCTTTAATTGCTCTCAGCAGGCTACTTACCCTGATTTATTGCTGAGTCCCATGTGCACTGTCTTTGTGTCACCTTCTCCTCATTCTCTAGTGATCATCTGACATCTCCAGCTAAAAAGTTAAATAAAGCCCCTCAGACAATGCTAAAAAGCCATCCCTGAACTCGATTTGCTCAGTTTCCAGGCACAGGCATTGGCTCTGCTCAAGGTCATGCCAGAGGGAGGTGCGTGGCTATGCAGGCGGTGTTGGAGTTGCCACTGCACAGTGGTCCAGGAACCCCCTTCTGAATGAGAAGTTGACACAAAAGAGTGGCTCAGTTCCTCCCCAAGCCCTGCTCACATGTGTGCTTTGTCTCTCAGGGCATGTTTATGGTCAGACTGCAAGGGACGACACTGCAGAAGCTTCGACCTCTACAAGATACGACCAGGAGGTCCTCCAGGACACCTACTTCAACGAAATAAGGACGGCTCTGGGCGAAACCAGTTACCGCTGCTTGCATGATGCTCTGCTAGCTTACCAGGAGACAGATACCTATGGTTCCCTGATCCTGGTGTTAGCAAACCTCGCCTCTGAAAATCCAGAACACATTGGTCTCCTGAAAAGTAAGGGATGTTTTAAAAATCACTTGTGTTTGGTTGAAAATAAGATGTAGGTGTTGCGTCAGCAATGACTTTTTGCTGCTCATTGGTTTGCAAGGTCTCTACTCTTAGGAAAAGCTTGTAGCATTTGTAAGCTTCACTTCAGCAAAGCAGATACATGGAGCAGCAGGAAAGCTAGGTTGGAAAAGACCTGATGTTCAGAGAGGGGAAAAAAGTCAAGGTTATGAAATCTTAATCTCTGTTTGTTCACTTAGAAATTGGCCATGGAAAACCTGAGATAAGACCTCAGTAATTCCCGTCCCAACCCTTGGTTAAGCTAACTTCAGTCAGATGATTTCATTACCTTTTGTTCTCCTTAGTTACTCCAAGTGGTTGCTGTTTCGACAGTGCTGGCTATTGAATTGACTCAACTGTATTCTCATAACCATTGATTGCTCTACTGGTGCTAAGGTCTTGGATCACTTCCCGGTTTTAGGATAAGCAATCACTCTTTCAATTCACTATTCTTCTATAGAGCTTTATCTGGGAGTAGTTATGGAACTGTGTCATAATTTAATAACCTTTATTGATCATAGTAATCTTTCAAGCCAATACTTATTTTCTCAGAAGTGGTTTGGGTTGGGTTTTTTTCCTTTCATGGGGTTAATGATGAAAGCATTTAGGAAGCTATAAGTGTTCAGAATTTAAAATTGGGCTTTATTGTTGAAGAAGGGTTAAATGCTGGTCTTGATGGGCTCTGCATGCTGGTCCTGATGGGCTCTGCGTGCTGGTCTTGTGCTATGTAACACCTCAGTTCTACCTGCTCCTGTGTCTCTGATGTGAACTCCTCTGCAGGAAATGCTGCAAGCCATATGCTGGGAAGCACTGATTCTGTTTCATTTCGTGTCTTCAGGAAATACCAATAAGTATTCCACTGCCCTCGAATAGATGTCAGTCTCCATGCTTTTAGAAAAGAGGTTTTCTTCTGCTGCATTAACTACTCAGATTAGTCCTGCCATAACAAAGAGTGGGAGGGGAATGAACTGGGTGGCACTGTGAGTCACAGTCTCCCCCTGAGCATTCCTCTGCTCACAGGCAGGGAGTCGATGTCTTTACCAGGCAATTTCTTTGACCTCAGAAGACTTTGTGGTGGAATTGCCTGTGCTTGGCAGCAAGTCACAGTTGGGGCTTTTCAGAGTTTCTGTATTCTGTGTTGTGAATCTCGCTGTTGTCAACAGTAAGAAGATAAACCACCTTTCTGAGAAAGGCTTTTTGGGTGTTGTGTATACACCTGGTGTCACTAGGCCAGGTTTCAGGTGAAGGGCTGGGTCGGGTGTTTGTGCTTGGCTGTAGAGAACAGAAGAACTTCAGGGGAAGTTGGGATTATTTTCAGTACTCATCTAGCTTCTAGTAAGGAAAACCCCATAGTTATAAAAGCCACAAAACCATGAACGTTCCACCAGCCTGAGGATGCTGAGCAATATGGCTGATGCATTTCTCCCCTCCAAAGCAAGGAGTCTTCAACGGCTGATGCATTTGACTGTGTTTTCTTCTGCACAGGATTTCAGATGTTTGTACGTCCTCATCACAAAGGTATTGTTGAAGAGTTGTTTTCCCATTTTCCTGAAGCGGCCCACAGAAATGAAGAGTGCCAAGAGACGCTGCAGAACAGCTGCTTAGCTATGGGAGAAAGCAGCCACATCCAAGGTTGGGAATGAACGTTGTCAATTCACAAACAGAATGTTGGGTTTGATTATGGTGGGTAGTGTCCCTGCACGAGGTGTGCAAAGGAAGATCGGGGCAATTGGCTGTGTCTAAATTGTGTTTAAATACCCAAGAGGTGTAAGGTAGAAAGCAATGAGAGATGGGAAGTGCAAGGAAATGAGAAAAACCAGGTCTGGTGACACCTTCTTTAAACTGTGAAGTGTGCTATGGGTGAAGGCAGAATCTGCACTGAGGTGGGGTTGGGAGCAGGTGTGGATGGAGATTCACTCTCTAGGAAGCATTTCCACAGAGCTGTTCCTTTAGGTTTCCTTCCTGAGAAAGTTGGGGCTGTTCAGCCTGGAGAAGAGAAGCTGTGTGGAGACCTCAGAGCAGCTTCCAGTATCTGAAGGGGGGCTATAGGGATGCTGGGGAGGGACTCTTCATTAGGGACTGTAGTGATAGGACAAAGGGGTAATGGGTTAAAACTGAAACAGGGGAAGTTTAGATTGGATCTAAGGAGGGAATTCTTTCCTGTGAGGGTGGTGAGGCACTGGAATGGGTGCCCAGGGAGGTTGTGAATGCTCCATCCCTGGCAGTGTTCAAGGCCAGGTTGGACGGGGCCTTGGGTGCCATGGTTTAGAGCAAGGTGTCCCTGCCCATGGCGGGGGGTTGGAACTGGATGATCTCCAGGTCCTTTCCAACCCAAACTATTCTATGGTTCTATAAAGGGTCCCTTTCAGTCATAAAGCATGTGTTAGTATCAGAAACTTCTGTTACCGAGCAGTATAGCATTAAAAAATAGTTATTCAAAGGGTGGTTTTCTTCTTGTGCAGTGAGAACTTACCTCGAATTGTGCTTTGTAGAGCCTGTGTTTTGCATTCTGTGCTGCTTTGTATGCTGATTGTCTCGTTTAAAACCCAGATCCAGGCACTTCTGAGGCACCGAGGAGAACTCAGGGGAGCATTCCCTCATACTTTACCTGGAAAAGCCGATGTGGATTTTCAGAGACTGGAGGAGGAAGCATGAGAATGGAACCACCCATAAGTTCTGCACGCAGTCCTTACTTTCGCAGAGGTTTTGATTCAGATGATGGTAGGTATAGGTGAGATACTGGGTTTTTTGGGTGCAATTCCTTAACAGGCAGAAATAAAGAAATGGGAATCTTGCTAATGCTCTATTAAATGATGCCTGTATCTGCTCAGGTGCTGGGATGATTCGTGGCGTTTGCTAAGTAGAAGTTGTACTTCAGGCCACTGGCATATGTCCTCTCAAAGCACTTCATTGTTTTTATCTCAATGGTGTCAGAGTTTCCTGAGAACTTGGGGATCTTTCTCCCAACTTCCTTGTAAGGCGAGGATGTCACCTCAGCTTCTAAATGGGGATCTGAAGCACCAAAGGCTGAGTGAGGTTATGGGAAAGGCATAACATAGCAGGGCAGGTACTGCACTGGTGAGGTAGTTTGTGGTCGTTGTTTTCTGGGTTACACTGGAAATGTGGAGGAATGAGAACATCCCAGGTGATTACAGGGAAAATACAGGAATTAAGTCATTTTCTCCCTGTCTTTCTCTCTCCCCTTCTCCCTCTTTCTCTGTTCTAGAGAGCTACTTCTGCCCCAACTGCCG